AATAGATATAGCTTTCTTCTCAAGATGATCGAAATACTGCGAGCACTGAAGAATTTCCTCCATTCTTCGTCTGGGTAAATATACATGGTTTTAATATTTCAACAATTTAATTTTTCCGCTTGCTTTAAAAACATGAACTGCAAAACTAGCGTTGAAATTTATCTCAGAGAATAATATGTACCTGTGTATGTTTCTTTCGATATGAACGGTCGATATATTGAAGCGCGATTGTATTTTTGTGCGGTTTTGTAAAGAATCTTTAAAGCAACTTTAATCTAGGAACACCTCTGGGTTATGTGGCCGAGAATGCGTCTATCTTTGATCTAGACTTCGAGAGAAGCCTTTGAATATATGAAAAATGTATTTTTGTGACAGCTAAGCCGATATATTTTAATTCAGAGACAGAAAGAGATCGCCACCAAGAGTTTGCTCTCTACATACAAAACAAAAACAAAAACAAAAACTTATTTTTGACAGAAAGTGAGAACAGCAGCAATTAAATCGAGCGCATAATGTATAAGGTGTTTTTTTTCTTAACTGGGGTAAAACTTTTGCCCTCTTTTTACTTTAAGCTTTTTCCCTGCACTTTTGAAAGCTGTGTATGTGGTAGTTGCGGCAGTTTCTCAGGAATGTGATATTTTGTCGAGAACCGGCTTCGTAAAACGCGCAAATGACCATCTGAATGTATTTAAATATAAACTGGTTAGGTCTTGGTTAGCTTTTGTAGTTCAGCAGAATCAAAAATAAATTCAGTTTGTCTTGTGTTACATTTATGCATCTAAAAAATTACATTAGGAAAAAATACATGCAATACAACCGGGGAACAATGAAATTTGAAAATTTTGACGGCGTTGAAGATTATTGCTTGTGAAAGAAAAAACTAAAAAACCTGTTGAAAGCTTGCCGCGCGAAATTTTATTTCAGCGTGTATTGAAACAAGTGAGCTACACAGAATTCACTGTCAAAAACGACAAACTCTTCAAAGTATTATACAGGATGCATTTTAAAGAATTATTTAATCGGTATCAACTTCCAATCGGTTTTCAAACGACGGTAGATGATGCATTTGAATAATTTGCGGGCGTTCCCTTGCCAAAACATTTCAACAGGTGTTCTGATTTCGTTACTAAACTCTTCTGGTTCTGACCAGAATTTCTATGGTACTTTCAAAGCAATATCACTTATCCTATAATCAGCATTTTTTTTTTTCAGTAAGTGATTGATACTTTTCCTTATTCCAAATGTACAAGAGCGTTAGCTGAGGCTATCTCCATTTGTGTGTACAACAGGTGTTTCAAATCCATCTACGCCTTGCATGGGAAAGAAAGATGACGACTATTTTTTTTAACTCGGTCCTCAATTAAAGAAAAAAGCACTACCAGAGGGACAGTTAGACAATTTTTAATCCCCCATAGGCTTTGAAATCTCAGCTCTACCCACTGTTACTGTAAGTGAGCAATTGTTTTTTTCAAATCTACTTGTACGACAGAGGAATTACTAGGAGAGCCACGCCATTGATTAAGGCGTCTTGACGAACTTGGGAATGAAGGTTGTTTTTCTCGTGGTGGAAAAGGATTGAAATATATTATGACGTACGCCCATCATGTACACTTCGGTTAAAGTAGCGCTAATATTTTGCTTGTCTTTGTACTATGGCAACAAATTGAAAATCGACTGTCAGCGAAATATTTATTTCAGTTAGTAACCTTACCTGTCAGGTTCAAATTTCATTATATACAATTTTTAAATTCTGATTGACCAAATTTGTTGCTGTGCCATATTTTCTGATTAACCAGACCTTTACTTTCTGAAATGTTATTTTCCCGCTCGATTCAATTTTGATTTTGAGCCAGATTTGTCCCGACAACCGATATAAATGCTATATTTGACCTCATATTTGGTGCCAATGATAGATTGTAAAAGGTGTCAAGTGCCCCTTTCGTACAGGTAACACAACCAACTGATGCAAATATTATGTCAGGTAACGCAATATTTGTCACGCAATACCTGCGAAAACACGTCCTTTAAATCCTAACCTTTGTATGCTCCCGCTATTCGACACGAGGTAGCATGGAGAAGAATTATTTCCTGGCAGTTCCTAAAGTAAAAGTTTTCGCCAAAAAAGAGAGGTATCTTATTTATCCAATTTATTTTTAATTTACATGCGGTGACATCAAGATGGCCGGCTATTTCAATTTTCTCTTCATTAACAGAAAAATGCCGTCTGTTTACCACGAACATTGCGGCAAACCCGGGCCGAAGAGCAACGATTATATTCCTCCTCCTGAAGCAAGATATTTCAAATCCCGCAGTGCTCCGAATTCCCCGTTAATAGGGGAACGGAGGCCCGCTACCCCCAGGGGTTCCCCGCGTCTTCCTCGAGAAGTAAATCGGCTTTCTGAGAAAGCGTTGCAAGTGAAAAGCCCGAGGTCTCCCAGAGTAGGACGAAGTAAATCTTTCAACTCTAAAGGTATGTACTGAAAATTTAGCGTTAATATCATGTTAGTAAACACAATCTTATATTGCATTGCCACAACTTCCATGAAGTTCTCCACGGATTCTCCCTCGGTGAAGTCTCTTTATTTTAACATTATGAAGCGAGGATAGCCAACGTCAATATACTAAACTTCATATCCATCTTTGCTTTGTTCACATTCATAGATTTGCGATAGGTTCTAGATCTAATTAACTTCTGGTGATTTGTTTTTAAATTTGAAATATGCGATTTGGAGTTGCAATTTGTTAAAGCACTCAACAAAACCCGTTTGGCTCCAAATTAGATTAACAATTGAGAGATATTCGATATTGCTTTAACAAGCACTAAAACAATTATTGCCTCTAACTTGGACTTTATCTCTCATTTTAATCTTGACTGATTGTGTAAACTTTGCTAATTGTTCCGCAATTCATTGACAGCTTTTATAATTTGTTATTTTTCAATAACAACTCTTAGTAAAGGTATTCAGACAAGTTATAGAAAGAGTTACGAATATCACGGAGATAGTTCGGGAATGCTATATTCATAAAAGACAAATGTAGCACATTGCCTTAATGAATTATGTTATTAAGGTATATTCTATGTCGGGCTGTTTAAGGGAATGTAGTTCACAGCGGTTGGTCATAAATAAATTAGTTGTTTTACACTATTAGACAAAGCCAGACAGGTATCATGGCTTTCTCCCAATCAAAATGTCGTCCATAGAACTCAGCCCTGTATATGTCTATCTCGACCCTCGCTCAATTTTAACGCAAAAGACTGGTATCGAAGTCACCTTCACAATCTGGTTTAGTCTTGGCTCTTCTTTGTCTGATTCAAACGCACTACTGGTGGGATGATACATGTTGGGTTCATTTTAACCGCGCTGCACTCCTGGCTGAGAGGTCTGGGTTCGAGCCTTGGCCCGTTCATTGAGTAAGACAGATAAAAATAATGGACGTTATTTTATCTTGGTAAGACACAGTGCCTCTCTCTACCCGGGAGTGTATATAGGTACCACAGGACTCCCAATGAAATCTGGCCAAAGGCAGTGCGTGTGGTAGGGGTAGCTGGGATGGATTGTTATCCTATTTAGGTGGTGAGGCAATGCTCAAAGTCGCTTAGGTCGCATGCGTCATCAGTCTTTTAAACTGCCTAAAGTTTTAATGGATTAACGAGCGGCAAAGACATTGACGTGAATGAAGAAGAATCATTGAGAAGTACATGATGCAGTTTAAAACCTTGAAAATTAAATTCCAAAACAAGCTACTCGCTTTGAAGTCTCTGCTGACTCTTATTTCTTTCTTCTTTTTTTCTGGCCGGGAAATTTTTTCTTTTTTGGAGGAGGAGGGAGGGGTAGAACTGTGATCCACAGCAAGCCTCTTTTGGCCCTTGAAAATTAAAGAAGAAATATTTAGAAAGTGCGGTGTTTTTCAGTATTTTCTTAGAAACATACCGCATACCGCGACATATCGCCATGATAGACTTATTTTCATGCAGGGAAGAATTTTAAGTGAAAGAGATTTTCTAAAGGTTGTGTTCGTTTCATTTATAGCAATGCGTTATAACAACAACAAATACTCGGCACTTAGTAACCCTGTTAGATTTTTTTAACAATTCGGTTTCTGATGTTCCACTATTTTTTTTTCCCTTTTTTCCCCACTTTCTTCTTCTTTCCCTTTCTATTTCTTTTGTTTCGTTTTTTTTATAGTAAAGGTTATTGTATTTTCATCGTTTTCTCGCACTTATTGGAATTTTTACGTCAAGTAAAGATTGAAAAAAATGTTAACAATACGCTGAAAGAGACGATTTCTTGCGAAAATTATCTTTAGATAGTTTGACACAAAAAGTTTATATGAAATTCTTTGCCCCTGCGTCAGAATTCTGTGTCCTAGACAAGTCGCGCAAAAATAGATTACAAGGGACGATTTGTTGTTCAACATTCTGTGGAGCTCTGCTGGCCCTTTGATGGCCTCAGTTATCTGATGGAGTCAAATCCCTACTCCGCCCTAGACAAAGAAGCTCTTTTGCTCTGTTTTTGGTGTGACGTCATTGGCAGCTTTGCACCTTGCCCGCGAGTGCGAAGAATTCTTCATCGCTTCTCGAGTCTCAAAAGGTCAAATCTAGCGACAAAGCGCGATGACTGAATGTCACAAGTGCGGCAAACTGGTTTATTTTGGTAAGTTTAGAAGTTTGAAAACAAAATGCCGCTCTTTGTTGGAAAGGTAATGGTTTAGTTCAGCAAGAAAGCGTGAGCAATTTTGATCCGTCCGGATTTGATTGCCGGAACGGCAACCGATGACAAATTATCTTGACACAGCGGTCTTCGTCTGGGAAAATTTTTCCCTGTGATGTATTTCTCTGGTATTTTGCAGCGGAGCAGAGGAACTCTCTGGGAAAAGTCTGGCATCCTGGCTGTTTGCGATGCGAAGAATGCGGCAAACGATTAAACCCGGGGCAACATTCAGAGGTATACTACTGCGTTAACCTTAATTTCAATGAGCGGAGTGCTTAAACAACGGATTATTTTTCACTTCTTCAAGACTACATTATTATTTTTTTTTTCAGTAGAATAGACAGTAAAAGAGATTTCTTCTGTGTTATTCTGTGATCAAAACTAAGAAACGAAATACTTCGTTTGAATCGCCTAAGCACTCAAAATACATAAACAATAACTCGAATGAAAATTATTCCTAAGAATATTATTAAAACCTTTGAGGCCAGGTGAAATATTTAACGGTGATGTTTCAGGGAGTTTATATATGACGACTGTATAAGCTCCCGGAGTTTGTTGTTCGGAAGTTTTTACGCTTTACTGCAAACTTCTGTTAGTTTTTGGAAAATGCTATAAATATTTGTTAAGTAGATCTTCGTTCAGTCTATTAAATTCTATGGTAAAGTGTATCACGCGATGACTGATATTATTTTAGAATTCTGTGAGATGGGCCTAAGATTTGTGCTAAACGGTAAGCTCTCAGATAAGAGACGAATAATTAAGCAACTTGCTTTGTTGTATAAGAAGCAGAGTTATTTCTGAAATTCCTTTATATTTTTTGGTCAAAATATTTTTGATCTTCATATGGAAATTCATGTCCGATAGTGATAAAATTCCAACCTGTCAAAGTCCAAGGCCGGACTGTGTATTAACAAGTGAAAATTTCGCTTTTTGTTGTAACCTTTTCTTAAGGCAGGTAAATAACAGCCCATTCATTCATTACCACAGCAACTCACTTTCAAGAGTTTGACTTTGGTCAAATATTTTTTATGTTGCTATGAAGTGGATGTTCTAGATGCTAATTTCTTTGCCAAGGCCGTCATGAATAAGTGCCAGCTCTATTTCCAGCCAGTTGCTCGCAAGTATTCTTTTTAAATTAATCTCACACCAAGATATAATATCAATTTAATTATAAATTCATCGTTGCAACTTAACGTCACTTTTGAAATCACAGTGTTTACTTTAGACTTTTGTAAACACCGGGCCAGTTATTCAAACAAATTCTAGTCTTTGTTTTGAAAACTGAGTGGTAAACCTTTCATATTTTTTAAGAAGGCATTATGTCTTAGTACGCTTTTAAACCATCTACTTATGGACAAATTTCCAAATCTATCGAAGATCATATATTGCCTTCATGTGTCATTTTCTTTCATTTCTGAATGGCTACCATGATAATTTTGGTTTTATGATAGTCATTTCTAGATATTGGCTTTCTTGGCCAGAAAAATCTGACAAAAGAGCAGTGACATAAGAATTGATTATATTATGTTAACCAATCATATTTTTTTCCTTTCTCAGATTTGAGGAAGTAATCGTAAATATCATAACTGTAATATTTTGGGTGATTGCTATATGTACACACCGATCTTTTTTGTCCAGATGAAATTTTTGGTGAAATTTGTTTCTTGCAACATGAACATTAACTGGAGCTGTCAAGTTTGATAAAAATTATCAGAATAGCTTCTTCTTTCAAGTGAACAACCATTTCCCCTCTGCTTCTGTCAAAAAATGTTGTAAATGAGTCAACATTTTTTCCTTTGGTCCATTCCAAGATTCCAGTTCCTGTTTTTCCATTTCCTGTGATGATGCAACGAAGTTTAGTGTTTCTTTACATGCTTTGTCCTTTGATGAAATATGGAAGCAGACGCATTTCTGATGATTCAACGAAGAGTTCCTCGTCTGTTGTCAAACTGGGTGGTAAATAAGCCTTTGTGTTTTTTTTTTTTTTTTGCGCCTTTTATGCAGTAAATTTCTGTCTTTATCGACAAATAAGCCGTCCTCTTTGTGATCAAATGTTCAGAATGTTAGAAGTTAAAACAGGACATTGTAACATCATACTTTCAATAATGGAGGTCTTTGCGACAACAAAGCTAAACACTCAGACTTGATGTATTATTAAGGTGAATTTAAGACTTCTACTCCTTATTTCTGCCTTAAAATCACTAACCTCAGCAGGAATTGGTAACAATAACAAGTAAGAATGAATTCACATAATTTAAAGAAGAGAAATTTTCATTCGATACACATAAGAGGTCCTGTCTATTCATAGCGGTACATGTCTTTGGCTGCTGTCCAAAGTTACTTTGTTTACGATTTGAATTTTAAGAGAAAAGCTAACAATTTTGAAGGGTAAATTAAATAAATTCTGGATGGTTTCTTATTAAAAAAAACATTTTTGATTACAAGTAAAATTTAAAGACTGCTATAGGTAATTTTTCTTTGAATAGAAGTTACGGTATAATTTTTGTACAACATGATTTACCTAACCTCTTACAACCTTTTTTATCATTTTTCTCAGTAAAGTTTGCATTAAATTATTTATTTTATCCAGTTTATGAGCAAAACGATCTATTATTCATGAAAGTGTTTAGTTACAAACACTAGATCAGTAGATATTACAATAAAAATATAATTATCCAAATCATTATTCTGCTGTTAGATAGTTTGTGGTAAACTTAAACTGTTCATATCAATAATGTTGAGTTTGGTAGGATTTTTAATCATTAAGTGAAGTGCTTCAGGTTGTTTTTGCCATTATAGAGTAGAATTATGAGAAATGTTTATTCTGAGAAAAATTAGATACCATTGGGTACAGTCATGGTTATTATGGCCCCTAAGTTCTTAGGGGCTTTTGTTATAAGTGTTTAACTGTCAGCTTCATGTAGATTCTAGTCCTCATATTTTGTCAGGAAAGACTCTGTCAGTGTTCACTACGAGAATCAATGATCAGTTTATTTTCATGTGCAGGGCGACAAGCTAAACTTTTCTTCAAAGACATCATTAATTTTGGAAACTCAAAATATTAGAAGAGGGGTTGTTATGTTTCCACTGCATACTATTGGCCTTCTTCCAGCCATTGAGTCAACTGGAAACATCATCTTCATCAAAAGTGGCTGCATCATGAGAGAAAAAAACATTATACTTCACAACAGATGTGTTCATTTTAATGAATTACCACCACTTTTTCCTAATTTATTCTTAATTATTTATGGCTCTACAGCACAGAGGAATTCCTTACTGTAATATTCCATGCTACAGTTTGTTATTTGGCCCTGGTGGATATGGCCGCGGAGGAACAGAGTCATACCAATATTTTGCAGATGATAAGCTTACGCCAGCTGAATTGGATGCCATTAGGTAAATCCGTTTGTATACGTACAGCTTATAGTCCTGGTATACATGATTAGTCTGGCTTTTATGTTATAGGATAAACAATCAAATGTTAATTGACTACAAAACCAAAATTAAAAATTTTTTTTTTCAGTAACATGCAGCTTGTTGTTGTTCAGAAAGTGTCCAGTAGAGACTATTGATTGTTTTCAATTTTTATCATGAATTTTTTTGTTTCTCTATTTATTATCCATGTAAATTTTTTCTTAGGAATGAAATCATTCCAAAGCTAAAAGAGTATAACACATTCTTTGAGGGACGCAAAGCTCTACAGTTAACAAGCAAAGAGGTAAACTCATGATCTATTTTAAGACTAATCAAACGATACAACTTCACCCTTTAACTATTATGACTGACCAAAACAGAATTTCTCCTTACCACATCAAAAGTGTTTATAACATAACCAAAGTAAAGTGGATGCTCTGATTGGTCAATTCAGTGTCCACCATTTGCCCATGGGTGTACACCGGTGACATGAGTAAATGCAATGACTAGTTTTCTGCACATGCTTGTTTTTTCTGGTCACATAAGATTTGATGAATAAAAGAAAACTCTTTTGCTACAATGTACCAATGTTATGTTATAAAACAAATGGTAAATGCCACACTGTACACTATTGAGTTATGGATGCACTTGGGAGGTTTGCTAAGCACTCAAGAAGCAAGAGTCACTCTCAGCTATCACTTTGCATGACTCTTATGCTTCTTTTGTGACTAGCAACCTCCTGCCTGCATCCATAACTTAATAGGGTAAACTGTGGTGTTAACCATTTGTTAATTAGTAAACACTAAGGAGGTAAAAAGAAACTCAAAGAGCATGATCTGGATCCCAAAGTTATTCTGTTAGATTTTGAAGGAGTCAATTGTGTTCTTGAATTCTTATCTAATGCAATCTCGCAAATCCACTCTCCAAACAATTTTGGGGGGACCTGACAAAGTACAGGTGGGTAACCTGTTGATTTGTAGAGTTGCTTAAAGACAAAGAGCACTAAGCAGCGAGTAAAGAGCACTAGGATTCTAGAACACAACTGCCATGTTTATTTCACCTCGTGGTGTCTTGTTACATAAGATAATTTATGCTAATTCTGACAACCAGATGAGATAGCCAATCAACATAACCTGTGTTAGTCTGGCATCTAGTTCAGTAGGAAAATAAATGCTTCCAGTTGTTCCACGCAACAGAAGGTGGGATAGCCTCCTGCAGATGTGCAAATCATACTTTCATATATTTTGCCTTTTCTCATTTAGCTTAGTGGGAGACTTATACTGGAGGGGGTTCTGAAGATTTACTGGGGTTTAAAGGTGCCTGTTACGCTTGCAAGTCACAATTTGTCGTATTGGAGGAGACGTACACAGAAAGAACAGAATGGTTACAGAGGATCAGCTGTTAACAGAGTCAAGGATGGCATTGTAAGTGGATTTGCCTCAAAGGAAAGGAAGCTCTGTGCAGTCAATTTTCTCTTCATATTTTGAATGCAAAAAGTAAAACTTAGATCTCCATGATCGAGAGGATGAATTTTTGCACAGATAACCAGATTTCTTGCTTGAGCTCATGCTAATTATTTGGTGTCCTATTCTTTTGTTAGTTTTTAACTTACTTATTTATCATCATCATCATCATCATCATTTATCATCATTTATTTGTTTGAGCAGGTTGAATTTATGGCAGCTATATAGCTGATGTGAACCTGCTATTTTCCCACCCATCCCACTCCAGGGGAGGACATCCATCACACAGTGATCTCATGTGTGGGAAATTAACATCTCCTGCCCCTAACCCTGCAGGAGACGGGACCTCCATTTATTCCTCCCTATCCGAGAAGACTAGAATATCTAACCATTTCTTGATGTTAACGTTTGAGAAAGGTAGCATATTCTTCTCAATCATTTTAAGACCTTGAGTGTTAGTCCGGCTGGGGCTTGAACCCTCAACCTCCCGCACAACAGTCCAACTCTCTATCCATTGAGTTAACCAGGAGGTGGTTATTGTTGTCTATCTGATAGTATATGAAAATGATCAGGAGAAATGACACTCTGATCACCTAGGATTGACATTCAAAGGTATTGCAAAACTATGTGACATCAGTGCTTTGCCCTTCCATGGTAAGAGCACCCCTTGTCACTTCTTGCCATAAAATCTGTTACGTGGCTCAGTAGCTATGCTGGACAATGGTCTAAACTTAAATTTATTTCTTCATTTTGCCTGTAATCAACTATTTACAGAGACCTAGAACAAGTAGCTTAGAGAAGATTCTGGCCAGACGCCGGTCCATCAACAACAAAAATATTCCAGATGCAGGAGATCAGAAAACTATTCTGGATTTCACAGTTCAGGTGAGAGCATTGTCTGTTGATGAAGGATAATTTCAATTTTATCTGGATTCACTACAGCTCAATCCTTTATTTTGATATATACCCCTGTAATTGGAACTGTTAGTGTCTATAAAAGGGTTTGTAAACAGTAGCAGAGGTTAGAGGAAAATTACCAGATGTCTAAATGTATTTTGTACATTTATGGAATCACTGTGTATCATGTAGAACAATCTTATCATTTAAGTGTATGTCCTCCTAATCTCACATCTTGGCTAAAATTACACTGTTCTCTACACAACAGCAGTGTTTGTTCAGTAACAGATGAGTTAATAAATTTGTAATCTTGAAAGTCTGCAACAGTACTCAGGATGTTCTCATTTATTTATTTATTTATTTATTTAATGATTCGGCTGAGGGCAGGTGATAACATAATAGGACTCTAGGTCCCCTATATATATCTTATTAACCAGCGCGAGGGCTGTACTGGGAGAATATTGGCCTGAGGTCTTGACAGTACAGACCGAGCACCGATATTCTTCCAGTACGGTCCCGAGGGAACTTGGTTAACAAGAGATTTGATATACAACTGAAGTTCAAAGGGACACAAGTGTGGTATCATTTGGGACCATTCGGGACAGTGCCCGGTCCAATACTGAGAGAATATTGACCGGCAATAGAGCATCTTGATTGGTTGATTTTAGTTATTGGCCCTCTGACTGCCCGAGTCGTGTAATAAAAAATATTAACATCCTAACTTAAGAGTTATAACTGAGATTATGACCATAATAGGGGTAGTGTTTATTTGTGTCACTTGCCTCGGAGGGTGTGAATTGTAAGCAATGACAAATGTTTCAGAAGTTAAGATATATGTAGATATCTATTTCAAATGGAGTGTTCTGAGCAGGTATGTTTTGATATTAATTGGTTTTGGTTGTTTTTGTAATCAACAGTCCCCAGAAGGACATACGACATTCATTCCTCCTTATGGCACTTCAACAAACTTGCGTGTGACAAGCAGAACCAAAACAAGAGAAGTCATAAAAATGCTGATGACTAAATTCCAGGTTTGTGAGCTTAAAACAGCACTCAAGCAGCCAAGGATTTTAATATGAAAGTTTTTTCATCTGTTTTTCAAATTTTGCCTATATCCAAGCAATGGTGTTTTGGTAGTGAGCCATGTACACTTTCAAGATGTCAAGTCTATCATTACTTCTAAGTATTACAACCAGATGCAGCACCCTTTAAATCATAAATCTAAAATGTTTTTCCCTTCTCTTGCTAAGATTACAGATGCACCTCAAAAATTTAATCTCTATGCAGTTTATGACAATGGGTGTAAGTACACTGTTATTGACATCATTCCTTATTTTATCAAGCTATTTTGTCACAAGAAGGGCAGTAGGATGCCTTTGTTTTTCAACGTGCTCCAATTTCAGTCATTTGTTCTGCATGTGACAAGGTAATTCACCTTAAAAATCTGGCAAATTTTGTCAGAGGCCAACGCCTCTCACATCTTGTTTTATCTTTTTTGTTTTGTTTTTTTGTTTTTTTTTTTTTTTTACAGCAATTAGACAACTTCAAAAGGAAGAATTCCCTCTTCATTGTCGCCTTTTGTTAGGGCCCAGTGAGGTAAAGTATAACCTGGTAGACAAAATAAAACAAATCATAGATGAAACTTAACATTTTGCTCAATTTGTAATGATTCGATTTGTGATTTTTTAGGAGGCTGCAAAGATATTTGTTATGGAGGCTGACGATACCAATAACATATCTCATGAGGTTAGTTATCTATAATTTATTCTTCCTTTTGAAGTTGCTTTTCATCATTTTTCAAGAATAGAGAACTTTTTACATCAAAGAAGTGGCATCATTTTAACTGTGAACTTTCAGATCTGATTGAGTAATTTTCTTCGGTTAGTAGCTGTCGCACAGTTACTTGTAATTTCTTAATTGATATATCATCAACTTTCACTGTTGTCCAGGTTATGTATTAGGTCATAGGCACTCCTGTTTAAGAAATTAGCTGTAACTTTTTTTCACAAAGTCCACCCGCACCCTGGATTATTAATCAATATGATATGAAATATAAAGGAGGGAAGGTGGGGTATTTGCTGTGGATCAGCTTCCCACCTTGAGAGGAACACATGCTTCTAGGTGCTTCCTGCAACCAAACTAAGAATAAGCTAAAGAAAGACATTTTTTGTCTTGTTACAAGCATGGGACAAAGAAAAAAATTCCGAGTCCCCATGAGGAAATGAACCTCAGACCTTTGGATTCCACGCTCCGATGCGCTGCCATTGCAATCATCTGCCTCATAGCCCCTGAAACTGAGTTTTTTTTGTGCTTTGCTTTGTCTGTATTAGGTTGCACAATACATTCATTTTGCCACGCCTGTGTTACAAGCCTTCCTGGACAAATATCAGGAAGAGGAAGAAAGAGAAGTGGAGAGAGTAAAACAGTGGTAGGTGTTATATTTCATTTGTTCATGTAGTCTGATTGTCCAGGTAAAAGAGTACAAGCCTGTAGTTCTGAGATCTGATAATGCCTGATGTCGGTCGTGGAGGCCAATGTTTCAATAACTTCAGCTGAGGTTGTTGAAATGTCAGTGGAGAGAGTAAAACAGTGGTAGGTGATATATTTCGTTTGTTTACATGGTCTGATTTTCCAGGTAAGAGTACAAGCCTGTAGTTCTGAGGTCTGACAATGCCTGTTGTTGGTCATGGTGGCTGATGTTTCAATGACTTCAGCTGAGGTTGTTGAAATGTCAATCACCATTGCGGACGACAATTCTTCTCAAAACTACTCTTATCTTCATGCTTAGACCTCACAATCAAATGTTACTCCATGGTTCAAACCATAAACTGTGCTACAATCACTGATTTTTTTTTATATGGGCTGACTTTCATGCCAGCACAAATTTTCCTTGGTTCTCTCTTGTTGCTCATCATTCAGTTACCTGTATACTCCTGGAGATCACTTTGGTTGCTCAATGCCAAATTGATTAATTTGATTGTGGTTCTAAAACTTGCAATCTAATATAAGAAATAAAGACCAAAAACAGCACCATGATATTAGAGTGGAGCAGATATTGCATTTATAATTTTTATCAGCTTGAAATGGTGTTATCATTTTGAACAAGGGATAAGGACCAAACAAACATGTTTTTAAGCACAGTTAAAAATCCATTGATCATTTCCATATGGTTCTCTTGCTTGTTCAAGTTTCTAATGTAACCACCTTAAAAATTCACTTCAAACTTATGATATATTTTTGTTATGCATTATTTTTATTTATATATTTATTTAACGTTTTTAGTTACATGCTCTACAAGCAGAAGCTACAAGAGAGGCTGGCAGAAATATCCACTGCTGTATAACTCCATGGCTGACCAATAATAGGAACATTCAATATGATGATATTTTTAATGTATTTTAAATAAAAAAAAGTATTTATTTGTTTAAAGAGATTTAGCCATGTAAGTAACTCAATAAATTTTTATTAGTTTAATAATGCCATGTGCAGCCTTTTAAAGATTAGAGGTTGAATGACTGTTTTTCTTTTTGTAAAGAAATGTATATACTTTTCTGTATTTTAATTATGAAAGAGAGAGAGAGAGAAAGAAAGGACAGAGAGAGAAAATTGAAGAGGTGCTCAGGGTATGTAAATTTAATTATGAAAGAGAGAGAGAGAGAAAGAAAGGACAGAGAGAGAAAATTGAGGAGGTGCTCAGGGTATGTAAATTTAATTATGAAAGAGAGAGAGAGAAAGAAAGGACAGAGAGAGAAAATTGAGGAGGTGCTCAGGGTATGTAAATTTTATCTTAGTTATCTATTTGGGGTTTGACAGAAATTGAAATTTGTTCCTATAGACATTCACATGGTGATTTCTGTCTCAGGAAATACTTATTATTTTCTGAAGTTTTATTCAGTTGTTTTATATTTGTTTCATATTTGTTTTCATATTGGTTTTCATAAGTTACAAATTTGATTTCACTGCTGTCCACCTTTATGCAGTTTTCACACGGAACAATAGATTTGATTTAGCCTTTGTGCAGGTGGTTCAAAAATTAAACCCCTGCTTAAAAAACTATCTACAAATGCCTTAGTTTTGAGATTTTGATGTTAGATCAAGCTACCTTTTCTCTGATAAGTTTGGTTGTTTTCATTATCAGTTGCCTGAATAATGTAGGATATTATAAGGAGAAGTTACACAGGGTTCGACATCTCCACTAGCACGGAAGCCGAAGGCTAGTGAAAATTTGGTCGGGCCAGTAAAAAACCGCTGGCTAGTACAAAAATTGAAAGAAATTTACTCAGTTTTTTCTTAAATAGCACATTATGTTATCACAATGAAAGAAAAACGCCATTCTTTATCATGTTTAAAAAACCTTGCCAATGAGTTTAGAGGAAGGTTTGCATGTTTGGGGTTGAAGTAGACCTCGAGGGAAACTGATCCGGGCTACCAAGTTGTGTCTCGGGCTAGTAAATTTTAGAAATCACCAGCCCGGTCGCTAGAAATGCAGCTAGCCAGGTATTGAACCCTGGTTACATGTTAATCACCTCTGGGAGTGAAAGGGTTAAGTTATATTAATTGTTCTTGAAGGCACCTTAATGATGGTTGTAAAATAAGGTGTGTAACATGAAGGGCCTGGGGCCCATTTCTTGAAAGTCCAGGTCACTTAACAGGCCTGTAAAGCTGTTCTGTTTTCACTCAATATGAAGATTTCAAAAGTTTTGAAAATAATACTATAAAACTGACAGCTAAAGAAACAAAAAGGACTGGTTTGGGGGGTAGAACCTGCTTTCCTGTCCTTTAAATTTTAAAAAACATGGCTTCAGGCCCATTAGGTTACAGGGACTTTCAAGAAACAGGCTCTTGGTGGATAAAAATGTAGTGAATGTAACAGACTCCAGAGGTCTGATTGCGGGTCCTGATGAAGGTCATTGTGTTCTCATGGTTCCTTTATTGACCCAGAGGTTATAGTTGTGACCAATAGTCCATTTTACAGTTGTGTGCTTGGTTGCCAAGCCTTTGAATGGGAGTGAGGCTAGAGATGACCTTGCTATGAAACAAACCTTGCTGCCTTTCAAATGTAAATCACTTTGTTATCATGCTAACTAGATACAGGTCTCTATCACAACAAGGTCATCTTTAGCCTCACTCTGAATCAAAGGCTTGGCAACTAAGTACACAACTGTAAAATGGCCTATTGTCAGTGCTTAAAAGTAATAGAGGGTCCTTTTACATCCAAACCAAACCAAACACACCATAATGGATATTATGTAGACAGATTGAGAGCTGAACTAAAGTTGTTAGAAAAAGGAATAAAACAAATTTTGTTTTGGATCATTTTTGTGTCTGTTTGTACTTCATGACTTAAAAAATGTAAGCAATACTACTGTTAGTGTTACATTTTCAGTAGGATGTTATTGTACACTGAGGAAAGGAAGTGCTTTCCTCACCCTCCACCTACGTTTAAGAAGTGGAAGTTTTCTTAGAATATTGCCTTTCAAGTTAACTTGCGCCATCAGTGACTATTTCCTCCTCCTCCTCAAATTTAATCAAGGATCTGCTCTGTGTTTTGGAGAATGTTGTAGGAAAAATCTTTCCCCCTTATTTACGTTACCTTTCTCCATTTCCATATTCACTTAAAAGAAGAGTGTTACACCACTGTTACTCAAATTATTCTAGAACAGCTGTTTGAAGCTTGTAATGCAACGTTTCAGCTAACGATAGTGTTGCGTGACAAGCTTCTGCAAGATTTGCTGAGCAGTGGTCGTCTCTGTTTTATGAATAGGCTTACATGACAGACCGACCGAAACTTTTAAAATGGCGACAGTATTAGAAGCCTTGTCCTATCTTCGAACTTTAACCTCGAATCCACCTGACGCACAGGCATCAGAAAAGAAGAAAGACTTTGACGAGATTCTTCTGTCTAATATGCAGCGTTTAATGGAAACTCTCCGTGAAAAAGGAAAATTTCCGCAGATAGGGCGCCGATTACAAATTCAAACAAACACGCAAGTAAGAGAACTGGAAAAGTGTTATCATACATGCAATGGAACTACAGAGGTTGTTGAAAAACTTCATACAGATAAAGAGAATCAGAAAAAGGAGGATTTTTCAAATCTCAAAGATGGTATTCGGTGGACTTTCGTAGAAACATGTTTAGAACTTTTAAACCTGTTGAAAGAAGCTTTGATCGGCGTTGCAATCGATGAGCAAGCTAGCGACAAGGTAGATTACCAAAATAGTGGAAAACGGGGTGATAAAGTACCACGGTTACCCCCAGACGCTCTCGGCGTTGCTGATCAAAAGACAGTATTGACAGCTATCCAGTTTATGGTTATATTGGGAATTTGTCCTAATCTGTTATCTGGTGTGGGTTTGCCTGTTGAAAAGCGATCTGGGTTTGCCTCATTACTGAACATTCACTGTAGCATTAAAAATGAAAGGCGCTTGTTTGAATGTATTAGTACGCTTGTTGACTGTACAGAACAACCTTCACTTGGTGCACTGGTTTTGTCAAGGCATTTAGGAGATGTACTCGCTGGGCTTATGCAGCTTTGTTATGCACCTTTTACTGATTATTCGAAAGACAAGAAAGGCTCAACTGCTTCTACACATGGGAAAAGGGATTACTTAGGTTCAGGTACTTCTAAAACGGTACATGATGGCTTTTGTGGGGATCCTAATTCAAGTATTCAAAATCCTCATGGCACAACAAAAACTGACTCAAGTGCTGAACCATCAACAAAAAGCACCTCTTGTAATAAACTTGATCCAGGTGCTCTCTGTGCACTAAAAATTAATCCCCCAAGCAGGAGAGTGGAAAATGATGAAATGTTATTCATTACCTCATCTGAAAGGGAAAAATGTAGTCAAGATCTTCAAAGAATTCTTGATCGTGTTTACCAGCCAATGGTTATTAGAGATCTTCTGATACTCCAGGGAGGATTTTCAAGTGTTGAGAAACAATCTGCCAAAAATAACACCAGAGAAGCATCTGGTCATCAAGGAGTGAATAATGGAGGAACACCAAGGCAGACTCCAAGGTGGATGAGCAATATCTGTGGTCAACTTCTTTCTGAAAGGCTTATGAAGAAAAATGGAGTGAAAGCTGTGCTGCATGCTCTTCTTGACCGATCAGCAGGTACAGTTGCCTCTTATGAGGTCCGTCAACTGGGTGGGCACAGCATCTTGCATCTTACCCCACCACTTTGTGAAAAAACTCATTATTTGTATATCTGTTTGAAGATCTAATCAGCAAAGAACAAATAGCCTTACCAACACTCAATAGCCTTACCAACACTCAATAACCTTACCAACACTCAAAAGCCAGACCAACACTCAGGGTCCTTAAATAACTGAGAAGAAAGTGCTGCCTTTGTAATAATATTTGCAAATGGTTAGACTTTCTAGTCTTCTCGGATAGGGACGATAAATGGAGGTCCCATCTCACAATCCCTTGCATGTGATAAGAAAATTTGTGGGACGATAAAGAACCCAACACACTGTTCGAAAAGAGTAGGGCACATAGTGCCCGATGTTGTGGTCTATTGATGGGGGGTATTGCACCTTTGAATATTGTATAGAAAGGGTGCAATATAATTAACGAATTCATTCATTCATTCAATTACAGAAAGTAATGACAGCTGGGTTTTTCCTTTTTCCTCTCCCCACTAATCATTGAACATGGGTATATTTAATTCAGAATTGAGCTAAGTTACTTGGTATGTCTTGTGGTATTTCAGGTGGGGCCGGCTCTCCTGACTGGAAGAAATGCGATGTCATTGCCAAATTGATAGCAAACTGTCCTAGTCAGGCAGAATCCGTAGAAGAGTATTATAAGTTAGTTTCTCCACAGGTGAGTGGAGTGTAAAATCTACTTTCAGGCAGCAAGTTTTCAGCATGACTTTCTAGTTGAATAATACAAAGACTTGATGAACCTTTTCATATATCATATCTCCTATGATTTGTTTTTAGAATTAACCACATGAGTCTTTGACTGTCTTGTCTTTTAAACAGATAATCGAGTTGTTACATGGGCAGAGTGCTGGTGTTGGAAAGCTTTATATGAGGACAGCATCAAGTGTTATTATGGAGATGTTAACTCAGTACCCAGAGCTTGCTCAGAAGTATGTCCTCTCTTCAATTATTAGACCTTTGGCCCAAACAACTGAGAAGCAAGGTAGTCATGAAATTTGTTCATTAAAACCTGAAGGGATTTTGCTTTTGACATATAATCTTAGGAGAATAGCAATATACAGAAACAAGGAACTTAAGAATGGGGTTTAGAAGGAATGGGCCAGTTAGCTAATAAGAGTTTGACCCCTCCTCACAGATAAAGAAAGAGAGCAAGAGTAATGTTTAAAGAAGTAAAGTCAGCTTACAGCTGTGTGGCTTTAAATATTTTATAAGTAACATTTTGATGATGATCACTTTTAGGAGAGAATACAGCGATAACTGCAGTCAATGAAAACAAAGTGGCACAATGTATTGAAGACATTCACAAGGTATTAATATTAATTTGGCTTTGGAAAAACATGTAGCTTTTGTAAGGGGTTTTAAGTTTGGGGCAATCAACCTTTGTTAATTTTTATGTAGCTGAATGTAGGAAATTACTAGCCAGTGGTGTCAGCTGTATTGGGATCAACTTTTTTTTACCTAATACCTGTCAGAGTATTAAGAATTAGATCTGTTAAGAAAAATTAGTTTAAACACAAGTACAGACTGATTTTGAGCCTGGAAAAACACCCTGTTCAAGATCCCAAATGGAAAATTGCAAATTATGTTGAGGAATTGAGAACCCATGATTCATACCTCGGGTTATAACACTTAATTGTTGAGATCAAATCAGGGAGTGTTCCCTTACGGGAAGTGAGGGAGGGGAAATTGGTCACATTGCCGAGCAGAGGCCCTTGCGAATTGTTTGTAAAGTAATTAAGGGCTTCTATGTCTCATTGTATAATTACACATTTCTTCAAAGTAAATGCGTTCTTGACTTTCCCAACCATTGCTAAGTATTTAGTAGGTTTTTGTGGTTTTCCACTGATAAACAATACAACCCTGACTGGGTGGATGTCATTCTTAGGGTTACGGTTACTGACAGCCTGGTTGTTATGGTTACTAACAGCCTGGTTGTTATGGTTACTGACAGCACCTGGATTCAGGTTTTGGTCCACTAGCATCGTCTTCCCATAACCCTTGTTCTTCTTCAGTTGATGAAGATATTTTTCCCACATGTAATCATACTCATGGTTTTGTTTTGTAGGTATTTGTTTCCAGTTCACCCAAAAGTGCCCTTAATTTGTTGCTGCCAATTGTTCATCCAATATTTGAGCTCTTCTGTTTCACCAGAAAGGGAGTTTCTCATTTAAGGTGAGCATTTGCGTTAGCTGAAAATGGTGGAAATTTGTAGAAAGGATGGCCTTAGGAAGAAAGGATGGCCTTAGGAAGTAAGAACTTCAATTTTTCACCTGACTTTAGGGAACAGTATTGTATCTGTATAATCAATCTCTACCATGATGAATATGTTTACGTTGCTCATATGACATTAACATGCTGCACTAAACTGTTGAACATGTTTGTAAGGTATACCAAGGTTTGACATTAACTTTTCAACTTACTAGCCAAGTGGCTAGTGACAACTTAGATATTACAACAATTTCAGATTGTTTACTAGCCAAACTAGTCTGTGGAAATCAAAAACCACTAGCTAAAACTGAATCTCTGCTAGTCCGTGGCTAGTTGGCTACTGTTAGTGTTGAGCCCTGTACACTATTTATTTTTAAATTATAATTGATCTGTTGATGTTTAGGTCTGCTCTCCAAGAAATTCTTGTCCAAGTACTCAAGCAAGCTGAGCCATACCAAGTACTCCAACTTTTATATACCCTGGCTTTCAAAATAACTCCTTCAGATAATTTGTCTTTATCAAAATCTTCCACAGACAGTGATGCAGCCACAAAAGATGGAACAGAAGTGTTTTTAATTCCTGTTATGAATGAGAATTTTGTGTTTGCATATGGAGATAATGGTGGAGCTGTGATCAAATATCAAAATGATAGTGCTGATGAGGAGCTCAATATAGGTAGTATCTTGGGAGACTTACAAGGACATGATTTGAGTGGCAGTGAAGTCCGAGCCCAGTGCATTGTGGAACTTCTGAGTAGCTTAAAGAAGGATGGTATTGCTGGAGACTTCTTTATTTACCTGATGCAGGGGTTGACAAAAATCATATCAGACTTCTCAGAAGAGATTGACTACAGAGGTAAAATCAATCAATCAATCATCTTTATTTAAACACAATAAGTATTTAAAGTGACACTTCGCTTGTGGGGTTGTGTCTAAATAATTAAGTAAGATAACTAATGAATTAGAGAATAAATAGGACATATCCAGCTAAAATCATATCGCTACTTACTACTTACAAGTCTAAAACGATAAAAGCTTAAAATTTTAAAAGACAAGGTGTTACTCTGATATCGTGTAATTATTAACCCTAATTATACTTAAAATCTTCCTCCCTTCTGGTTAATGTTTGAGGGGAGATACAGTCAAAATCAAGGTGTAGCAAAGCCTTAGATCGTCTTGCCATAATCGCATATTTCTTAACATTTTCTATATCATCATTAAGTTGAGGAACCAACGTGTTCCAAACTATTGCTCCTCTACGACCTACAGAGTTCCTCATGTAGTAGGTGTTAAAACGAGGGACATCAATTTTCAGTTTCTTCCTAAGTTGATATCGCTTGATGTTATCATTGTTCTTAATAATAGCTGATATAGCGTCTGGAGTCAGGTTATTATGGATTTTTTACATAAGCTTAGCTAAGCTAATTTTATACATAAAGGCTAAAGGGGACCAATTAGCCTTTTTCATAACATCAGCATTAGACATCTCCCAAGTTAGTTCAAAGATAATTCTCGCAGCTCTAAATACCCTGTGGTATGTGAATTATAGATTGAGTGGCAATGTTAGCATCAACTCATTAATTGGGGTCTCTATTTTCGTGCATTTTTAAATTTTTTTAAATTCATTTTTAATAATTATTATGTCCTTGACTATGAAACAGTTTTATTTTTACTTACAGTCAGCTGTTGCTTTGTTTTTCCTTTGCTCAGATGTGAAACACAATCTTTTGATCCTTCATCTTGTTGGGCTCATGTGCGAAAAGCTAGGACCTTCCATTCTAACAGACACTCCCCACATATTGGCCTTTATAGAGTCAACACTGATACGTGCCTGTGCCATCATCCATGCAGATGAGCAGGGACTGGAACTGGCATTTGTCACTGAAACTCTCACCATGGCCCTTGGGATGTTGTCGGCAGTGCTGAGTGGAGGAGGACTGGAGGTGAGGTGTAAAATCTGAGATGTGATCTCTTTTGTACTTAAACGGGCAATTTTCAACTGACTGTTGTAACTATTTCAGCGAGTGATAAGCATGCTTTAATTTATTTCAGTTGAAAAAAGAACATCGTTCCCATGTTCAAAATCTTTTGCCCTTACTTGAAACACTTGCTGAACAACACCCTTCGCCAGAGGTTCGAGATATGGCCAATGATCTGCGCATCGCCATAGCGACACATGGAGCTGTGTGGAGCCACAAGATGGAGGCTACAGTAATGAACTTCGGGAAGCAAACCGATTCTGCCGGGACGGATTCTGAATCTACAACCGTCAAAGGTTTGAGCAACCATGGTTCCAAATTAATTCAACTTCTTACCTTTTTTCACTTCGGGACATTTGTGTACTACGTGTGAATTGAGTGCAAAGCATACAGTTGTGTTTCATTAAAGCAGAAAACGTTTTGTACTCAATTTGAGACAAGCGATTATAAAAGTTTATAGTGTCTTGATTTGAGACGATTTCTGAGAAAGCGATGGAAGGCCGAAGTATTTAGTTGGTTCATTCCAGACGTATCATGTTGAGTGCGAATTGTGCAAACGTCTCAGATGCGACTCGTTTTGGTGCGCAACATACCTGGAGAGTAACGACAAGAAAAGGCTGTCACGTCTAAAAGTTGCAGCGTTTGGAACTTGACGATATTCCCAGTGACCCTCAAGTACCTCAGATTCTCGAATTAGTGAACGGGGGATCGGGATTTCTCGAGTGAGAGAAGAGTCCTTCACTGGCGCCTTACTGGGATCAAGGGGACAGGCTGAGGGCTGTTTTTTTTTTACTATGAATCGTCACTTTCTCGATAGAGAGGAAAGGATGGATTCACCTCTAAGGACCAACTCCCCCTCCCCCCCCGCTTCCCCGCTTTCCCGCTTCGCGGGCGTGGGGCCTTAGTGGTATACTTCTCCTTTTTTTCATTCTTTGTTTTTTTTTTTAATCTTAATGCCTTTAGGAAACGAAAACAGTGAAGAAGAAGATAAATTCGACGACGCCTTCTCTCAGGTCTGCGATCCTTTGATTCCCGTCCGCGGTCATGGTTTGTTGAAACTAGCCTCCCTCCTCCGCCAAAGGGACCCCAAAGCTGTTCAAGCCACAGACACTTTACTAAAGATCTTCTTGGAACAATTATCTCACGACGACTCCTATATTTACCTGGCTTCCATTCAGGGGCTTGTCTCTTTGGCTGACGTTAGGGCAGATACGGTCATACCACTACTCGCTCGCGAGTTTGTTGCTAGTACGAAAGACGCAGGGATTACAGCAGGCGCCACAAAGGAGGCGAATGACGAGGGGTATTATGAACCAGGTGACACAGGTAAGTTGTTGTTTGATATCTTGATTATCACTTGTTACAGTATTAACTCGTTTTTTTATCACGAGCGATCCATTCAACATTCTTTCTTGTTTATTTGTTTTTCAGTTTCACGTGGAACAAGCCGATCTACCAGATCTCCTGAATTAAGAATGAAAATCGGAGAAGCACTGGTAAAAGCCACTAGAATCTGCGGTGAACTGGTGCCAAGGTATTCCCAGCATCTCTTGCCAGCCTTGTTGACTGGTGTCAAAGACCCTGAGTCGTTGGTGCGGGCCAGCAGTCTCTCCAACCTTGGTGAAGTGTGTCAGTTGCTAAGGTTCTCGTTGGGTCCCGTTGTGAACGAGGTTGGTGAGATAACAATTTGAAGTATCATAATTGAATGTGTAGGATTGCTCAGAACGGTGGCTAGAAGAGTATCCTGCTTCATCGAGCATTGTTGCTCTCCTTAAAAGCCGCTTAGACACCGCAAACCCAGCGCTATTTATCGCTTTTTTACCGCGAAAATATTTTTCAAATAATTCGTACTGAAAAAGGATAAAAATCAAAAACACAAATCACGCATACTAAACGTAGATATGTGATAGGTGAGAAGGTAAGATAGCAGGTTATTATGGAAAATCGAAAAATTAAAATCATGCTTTCATTAATTTTTTTCGTTAGATTTTCAGTTGTGTATCCGCTGTACTAAAGACCGACAAGTCGGCCGAAGTCAGACGCGCTACAGTCCTTGTCCTAACTTTACTACTCAGAGGACTGGGGAAGAGTATAATGGAGGTAAGGATAGTAACCCTGCCCAGCAGTCCATTCCAGTTCCTTTCAGCTTTTCAGGAAGTCGTGCCAGGGCTCACAACAAAAGAGAACAGAAGGGGCAACTCACAGTTGTTGAGAGTCTTTTTACCCTGAGTTTTCCACGGGTTTGTCGTCTGTAACCTTTAGTTGGGAATACTACAGGTGTAGGTGGTGATTGGATTTCAAAGATCACCAGAAGTCCTTGCAGTTCACCCCCGGTTGCCATTCGCTTCGGAAAACGTCAGTGCTGAGTTTCCACACTGATTGGTCAAGGTTGTAAGGGTCGCAAACAAACTGCTTAAGATTAGCTCATTTTTGATGTATTTCGCTCTTATTTTTTTTATGTATGTTATTTTTTGATGTATTTCTCTCTTATTTTTTTTATGTATGTTATTTTTTGATGTATTTCTCTCTTATTTTTTTTATGTATGTTATTTTTAGGTTCTAAGCTCGACTCTGAAGGAAATCTACCAATTGTTGAAAATAGTGGAGTCAACAGATCCCGATGACGTCACTCGACTGCATGCTCAAACTGCTCTTGATGAACTAAATAACATAACAAGAGAATACTTGTTTCCTGAACCTTCTTTTACAAAACGAATTCAAGTGTTACCTTCATAAAGTCAAGCTTTAAAGTCGTTTTAGGGTCAACAAAATCTATCTCATTTACCAAACACGTTGATAGATATAAAGAATAACTAGATGTTCTATCTGGAGAAAACGTGTCTCTGTTGTTTCCCGGACCAGAGATGACTCCAGTGGCAATGCCTAGACCGCTGGATGGACCTTGGATAGAGGGGCTGGGATCGATAACGAGTCAAGGTCCTCATGTTGTGTTCTTGAGCAAGACACACTGAACTCCAACGCCAGAACCAAAGAGTCGTCTGCACTTAGTTTTCTTTCTGTCTTGGTTGTAAATGGCAACGTTGTGTTGGCTTAAACATTTTGCAAGATGGTCAATTTTGAGCGGTACTTTTTATTTCTCTTGCTCACAAATAGTTCAGAATATTTCCCCCACCTCCCCCTCCCTACCATTTTAACAGATTTTCCTGACACTTTGCCAGTTCCTACAGATATTCTCGGGCGTAGAGAAGCAGAGCTGTTTAAGCCTCGATCCCAGTCTACCTCTTAAACTTTCAATGCGGAAAGTTCAACAGATGTGCCCTTGGTGGATCAATTGTACCAACTCCTTTTACACTGAACAAAAAAAAAAAAAAAAGACAGGACTTAAAGGTTTAATCTCTTCTTGGGCTCAAGAATAGGTCTAGCCTCCCCTTTTTAACAAGATAATTAAACTTAGCTGACACATGGAATTACTGGCTGTGCTGGGGTTCCTGGCTTTTCTTAACTGAGAATCCAAAGGGGAGATTTGCAAACTCGATTATAGTCAGTTGATTATGGTGTCATTTTCTTGTTATCGTTGTCTCATCTTTTTAATATCTCCAGTCAGACTTAACCCGTGTAATCATCCGCTAAGCGAGACGAAACGAACTTCGATATGTCATAGAAATAAAATAAACGATGTCCTGGGGCACTATTTATATCCAATTTATTTTCGAAAGCTTAGGGCGTTTTACGCTTTGAGTTCTGATTCCCTGGAAAGTGTACACATTTTTTCAATTAGTTAGATGAAAACTTAATGGATGAGGAACTCTATATGCCAACCACACTATAGTTTTACTTCCCTTGTTACCAGACATAACAAAGAAAAACTCCACAAAGAATCAAGCAGAAAGTCGGAAACCGCAAAACTTATAGCAAAAACGACCCCGAATATATAACTCGTGATAAACAATTTTTTGCCGATGGGATTCTAGAATTAGACGTATCAGCCTTGAAGCCTGTGCTACTGAGAAATCAGCTGTCACTATCTTCGTAAGTTACACTTGTCTACGTCTCGGAAAAGAAGAAAAAAAAAACCTAATTCCCTGGGGCTATAGAGTTGACAGCTATACTTTACCTCTCGCAGGCAGCTAATTTAGACAGTTTTCGGATCTTAAGAGGGCTTAAAGATTTTCAACGTTAATTTAGTTTGTTTAATCTTTAGCTTCCGCTTTATCTCTATTGAGGAAATCTTTCGTGAGTTTAGCCATTTCCCTGCGGTGTCCTGGCGTTTTGTAGGCTCGCATTAGCGTCCAAAGTGACAAAGCGTAACTTGAGTTTATTTTTTGCGCCGTTAATTGCCAGTCAAGGTTAAGAAGACGATAATCTAATTTGAATGTCCAGACTTTGCTAGGGAGCCTCTTTCCCTGACAACTTAAATGTCTCCCATCTTGGTTTTACTTTGACAACATTTAAGACCAAAATACTCACAGTTTTGGTTCTCTAGAGCTTGAGGCGGCATTTTCATAAAAAATCGATTGAATAGAGACGCTTCTCATTTTCTCACCCCTTTTTAAAATCTTACTAAGCTCGCCAAGCTATGCGGGAGGAGAGGAAAATACAATAGCGAATGAATCAGTTTTTGGAGGAGAAGGTTACATTTTTAATCAAAAATATTTCTTTCTAAGTATGATTACTAATAAAAAAAAAAAGTATCCTCGTTCATAAGACAACACTCGTGTTTGTCTCTTAGTGGCTTTGCTTACTTCTTTGTTAGCGCTAAGTGCAAATAAACTACTATGCAGCTTTAGAATATTCTCGGGCAGTAATGTTTCTCGCCTTTGTTGGATGATTTTTAATTAGCACCCAGTATCAACACACAAATACCCTGTTCACCTTATTCTGTCTACGACCGTCTTTCGCAGTGATCCCAAGCTAAGTGAATTATACTCCCATGCTAACCTACTTAGGACGTATTAATTCTGCTGACTAAGAATTTAGTCCAGATACCGCCCCCTGACCCTCCCCCGTCACGCCCCGAATTTGATACACCTTTCTGGAAGACATGATCATATGGCACCATAAAACTTGAGGGAAAAAATTGAATTTCAACTGCGTCGTTGCATCGGTGATTTTTTTTTAGCAAATTTATACTAATGTAAATATTAAGGCGCTCACGACCATCACAGTGGTTGTCTATACCAAGGTTTAACTTGAAATTGTCAAATCAGAATTAGAGAAACTGAATTTTGCGAAACAAAGCAAATTCGCTTATCAAAAGTGGCGAAATTTAAAGTCAATGTTTTTATATCGTATACATCCATTTATTTTCTAGTTTTTTCATGTTATATGTCAATAAAGAAGAAAAGTAACCTTAATAGTTCTCGCTCGAAAATTTTCCGATAAGAGAAGAAAATCTCCAGTAAAATAGGTCCACAGGTTTCTTTCACTCTCATCATGCAAAAGGATAGATCCTCTAATGCCAAAGGATAGATCCTCTAATGCCGACTACATTAACAATAACTGAAACGTAGCCAGGTTATTAAAATGGAAAAAACGGATTGAGAGGACGGTCACACATGCCCAGATAATGCTCGCGAAACAAAGATGCGAAACAAAGATACGAGTCAAACCTAAACAGAATAGTTTAATTTCCTCCTTGACGTCTTGCTGTTCGACCTTCGAAACTCCTGGCTCAACGAAAAGCAAAATTTCCGGGTAGGCACATGGCGGATTTGAACCACCGACCTCTGGTTTACTAGACCAGCGCTCTAACCAACTGAGCTAATGCGCCGTTCCGTTAACAATCGGGAAATTTTAAATATATAAAATCAATGCTAGTTTCTGATTGGGTAAAAGTTGTCGTGGCAACACGACGTTTTCACAACGAGTCATAGTCGTGGCTACGTAAGAAGATGGAGTGTGTGTAGACAATTGTATAAATATTGTCACGGATCAGTTAAAATGTCAAACTGCGTCTTTGAACAATAGACCACGGCACTCACTTGGCCTAAGGGTTTATCACTCACAGGGGGCGATGCGACATCCAAGTTCGCATTATTTACTCTTTCAGTATAATGAATGGCTTAATTTATACACCTTTATCTCGTACTCGACATAAAGAATAATTTATTTTGCTTAGGAGTTCGCGGGAGACAGATGAGAACGATTAGCATGTTTTTCTCGTCTCCGGCGCTTTGAAGATCGATGAGACATTTCCATTCAGACACCGTTTGCCAATCACGAGTAAACACAATAACTCCGTGTCGACATTTAGAGCGAAATGAATGCTGCAAAACACCGGCTGTGTATAGTGTTTGGCTAAAATAGTTAAAGATTACTGTTTTCGTTTTTCAAGTCACAAAAATTTGCATTTCAAACGTTCCTAATTCAGTTCTTCAAAACGCACCGACGTCAAATCCTATCGAGGTTTCTTATTTCTTTCACTGCCCTCGCGACACAGCGAAAACTCTTTGTGATATGATCTTAAAATATGAGCAATTTCCGACACTAATCCCCCGGTTGTAGGATTTTTTTCGCTAAGTTCTTCTGTTTTGGAAAACTGTGAACAGCTGCGCTGAAGAGTTCAAAATTACAAGGCTTTCCGGACGCAGTTGGACGCGAAATAATTCGCTGGATACGTTGAAAAGGCTTGATTTAAAAAGTGATTTGTGAAATCTCTCATGAAAATAGTACGATCTGTACATTTTGCAAGGCAGATTTCGAAAAATCCGATATTAGTTCCGCCATGGAGACCTCTCGTGTTGTATTTTGACTGCGGCAGCCAAACCGGAATCGCCTTATTGCGTTCGACTCAAAATTGACGAACGTCGAAAACGCACGCGCGCAAATTGGTCACGCTTGATCAATTTTCGCGGCTTCGTTTCCCACGTGGGCGTGCATTTGTCGGCTCGCAAACAGACTGTTCCCACCTACTAGGCATTTGGTTGGCTCGGAAGTGGCTTGTGGCTGCGTGAATTTGCGTTCGATCAACGACAAGCCTGTCTGACACTCGCTACTGATATCGCTTGGAAGTCGCTCGCAGCTTCAGGCAGAGTCAACTTTGCACCGTTGCGCCTTAGAATTGGCGGCGTAATTCGAAGCGGTGATCGAAATTCGCCAGTTTACTTGTTAAATGTTATTGATGTCACGGATTGTTGCTCGTGTATTTTTTTTTCACGACGCTCTGCGACTTGTCTAGTGATTAGCTATGGAAAGTAACGTCGAGCGACCGACAACGCCGGGAACGAAAAGCGAAGCTGGCGAGAAACGATCAGGCGATTTTGAAGATGTTGTCCCCAGAAAGAAGCGGCGAAGATGCGGTGCTTGTGAGCCTTGTTTGAGAAAAGTAAATTGTGGGGAGTGCAGCAATTGTGTCAATAGAAAAACTGGTCATCAGATATGCAAGTTCCGTAAATGTATTGAACTGCGAAAGGTGCGAATATTTGAACGAACGTTAACAATTTGGAACAGGGATTGATAACTCACGCATTTATTCCGTGCGTTGTGCTAATGAAGTTTTCGTTTGAAAATACTTAAGGGTGTGATTTCATTTTGGTTTTGCAGAAAACGACAAGCAACGTTGGCAAACGCGAAGGGGCTCAGCTGCGAACGGCTTTGAACGAGGAGGACGACGTAGGTGACAAATCGCGTCTCGTGAGCTGTGAAGTCGACGAACCCGATAAGGTAAAACAGTATGATCTCGACTTACAAAAGTAAGCACAAGCTCATATTATTTGGGTTTTGGCAAAGTTTTTCATTCCAGACCATAGGGATATTTCTTTAATATCTCCCGGGTATTATTAGTAAAGCAATTTTGATGCGAGCGTCTTGGCTAATATTCACTCCTTATTGTTGTGGTTTGTGTTTTCTCTCAAAGCGAACTGGCGGTGAGGGTGGCGAGAGACAGATTATCAACGATTCCGTTCAAGGCGAATGTAAACCGCAAAAACCAGAGTCGCCAGGGGCAATTCATGCCCAAGAAAACACTGAAGTTACTCAGCTGCAAAACACAGAAATCAGCGCTGCCGACGAACTCCCTAAAGACCATCATGAGAATAAAACAGCAAGCGGTGATGTCCACTCCACTCGCTCAACCGAGCCGGGCGCTGAAAAGCCTTTGACGAACTGCAAGATAGCGGTTTCCCGCAGTGAAAGCGATTTTGAACCCCCTCCGTGCAACTGCCCAGGTATTTACATATTTTTTTTTCTGCATGTATTCTTATTCAAATGTACGACTCAGCCGGCTGGAATAATCTAACCGCTAACTGCCGACTCGAACGCGATCTAATTTGCTTGATCTCTCTTTTTCTTTTACATGCCGCACGTATTTCATTTTTTGTTTCGGCCTTTGTAGATAGCGTGATATGTGTAGACTGGCTTTGTTTGAAGGTTTAAATAAACCTAATTGGGGATTAAGCCGGGTTGCTTGGAATAAAATTTATTAAAGTGTATCCGCGCGGTTAGGTCTCAGCATTTTGTTGACATTTGCGCTAAATTACAGCGGAAACTTTTAAGCCCGAGCCACGTTGAAATAAATTAGTAGCGCACACGAAAAAATTACGGTAAACGTTAAAGAGGTTTTTCTTATCAAAATTTTCATCAGTATCTCGTTACGATAGCGATCAACGTTTGTTTATATGTGTCTCAGTTGGCCGTCAAAACAGCAGTTGTTGCATCTGCGCTACGCGTACTTTGTCCATTCATCGGAGAGATTTCGTGTTAATGCTTAATCTGCCTAAACGACACGCTCCTCTGAGTTCTTGCGAAAGTTTTAATTCACGTTATCGGCCTAAATCATTAAATCATCAAAGACGCATCGTGAAATGAACAACCGCAGAAATAAAAATGGAAAGAACACAAAGCGAAATCGCCTATGCGATTGTTAATGGTTTCAAAAGTGCAGCATTGAAAAGTTGAAAGTTGTCGGTTTTTTTTAGCTATTGTTGGTTTCTAAATGATGGATGAGTGCCTCTCTCGACAAGTCTGGCAGCAGATATCGCGCCGTGGCGCATTTTTGATTTACGAAAACAATAGGAATTAACAGGTCCACGCTGAAAGATGTCTGATTGGGTTATTGTAAAAATGAAAAAAAACGCCTAAATCATGATATTTAAAATGCACGGAATTTATCGCGCAGTTGAGCGGAGATACTGTTTTGAAGTTTTGGTGGGGGTTGCGGAAAAGGGTCTTGAAAATTAACACCGGAAGCTGCTTTTGTACCATTCAGTCTTTCCGTTGTTAAGATCTCGCTCAAAGCTTTAAATTTGCCCAGTTCCTTCAAAGATTTATTTTACTCAGAGACGTCATTTATCAAGTTCTTTTCACCGCTACACGATTTTTTTAAAGAGGGATTGCCGTCTAATCTTGGTTTAAGATCGCAGAAAGAAAACATCCGAACATCACTTCTAAATATCTTTTTGTTTGCGAAGGAGCTCAGCAGAAGTTTAAATCGTTAATCGTTGCTTTTTGCAGTTAAAAAACATAAATTCTCTTTGCATTCGGTTGGCAATCATTCAGCGCTGCTGGAGCCTTTACTACGTTGCTGTATAAACAAATCAGCCTTTAGACAAACAGAAATTCAGCTGATTCTACAAAACCAGCGATAAATCTTCTAACACAGTAAGAGATCCTTGCATATTGTGGTGCAAGTTTAAAACCTGCTGTTTTTGGTAAACACGTTGATGGATTTTTGTCGCGTAATTATTGAATTTGTGCAAATCAGTGCAAGGCAAAGCGAAAACTAATTTGTCATTACGGGAAATTTTCCTGTAATTGTAAGCTGGAGGAAGACTAAGAATTTGTCTACCCTAATTGTAGCGATGTTAAGACTAATGCAGTTGTTAGAGTAGGAAACCACTGGACATTTGTTGTTTTGATAACAAAATGGGCAGTTTATATGACGATGTTCTATAAACTCTTAAGCTCCCTGAGTGACCAAGACAGAATTTCTCCTTACAATATCAGCATAATGTCAAACAGACAAGTGATGAGAATAAAGAAAAATATCAATTAGGGAATTATTAAATAATCCAATACCAAATTCTGCGAACTAACATCTAAAGAATTGTATGGCAGACAATGCGGAAAATCTTCGAAGTGAAAGGGTTAATGAAGTCAGATTCAGAGAATGGGAAACTTGTACATATTCATCAATCATTTTAGAGAGTTTTTTATATCGAAGATTTACTTTTGTACAGGAGTATTGCATTTGATTTGGTGTTTGTTACAACTGATCTAAAGGACCTGCAAGCGTAATCACTATAACTATGCTGTGTGACTATTCTGTGCCCCTGTTGAGAGAATGTGCCAGTTTGACTTGTTCCAAACATGGATGCTGGAATCAATAATGCAATTGTTACATGTTAACTTTTAGCTCGGAAGTATAGGGTTTACCCCAGTTGTAACATATTTAGCCTTATAGCAGAGCATCAAATGCAGTGCTCCTATCTCCACTCAGTTGTTTTCAGCCTCACCATTCCCCTCTGACCCCTCCCTCGGTTTTTTAATGTGCTCCACCCTCATGTCAGCCAACCCTGGTATCTACTGTGTCTATTAATTCCCGTTGCCTCTCCCCTTGGTCTTGTCTCCATGACAGTTGGTTCAGTCTTTCCTCGCATAGCAGCTCCATACATACTTATCTCTGGTCAATAATACTTCGCCGTCCCAAATTGAAGTTTTAACATCCGACTGCGTGCACATGGCACATGTAATGGCCTGTTGGCCTAGATCATCATGTTGTTTCTTGAAGCAAATACTTTACTCTCACAGTGCCTCCCTGCTTGCCTTGGAGTGTAAATCGCTACTTGTGGAATACCTTGGAGACCCGATTGCGCGATAGAGTTACTCAGGATTGAACGGCATAGTATTCCATTGAGAAGGGAAAGAAACACTTGGCTGTGTCACGCTGTTAAAAGAAAAAGAGATGTATGATATATGCAAATACTGTGCAATTTTTTGAAACTCAGCACTTTTTTATGGTATTAGTTTCAGGAAAAGATGACAGTCCTTATTATACCTACCTGGGAGCTGCACCGAATGTGAATGTTCTGCGGAATCTCTTGGAAGAAAGGTAGAACAGATAATTGTTATCAGTCTTTTTCTGTAATTACTTTGGTCTTAAAAAATGTGGTGGGAGACCATAGTCTATGAATTTAGATTCTTCTCGCTTTGTTAACGAACTTGATTGTATCTAAGAAGTCACAATATTTAACTGGTATTTTCAATTTCATTCGGCAGGTTTGGTGTAAACGGATCTGCTTTGAGAATTGAACTGGTGAGAAACTTCATTTTTTACGATGTTTTTTTAATAGAGGAAACAAGACCTATTTGTGCACGTAGCGATGTTTCACCAATTTTCAAGTAAAATCGAATTCGTCATCAACGGAGTAAACCAGATGAATTGGAGAGATATGAGTTAAATAGAGAGCAAATAACAATAAGACGCACACACAGGAGGAGGCGGTGCCCAGATGGTGACACCGCTGAACTACAAATAATTACTCGCAGGCTGGACTTGGTCGGGTATTGTGTTTTTTTTTTTTCTAAGACGAGACACCTTGCTCTTACAATGCCCTTCTATAGCCAGGAGTATGAATGTCTAGTGTTTTACTTAATGAAATATTGGGAAATCTAGGATGTACTTTATCGCTGGGGAGAGAGAAAGGTTGAAACCGCCGGTCGCTGCATACCACGTAAAGTGAGATAAGCCCAAGCTGTTATATGCTACAAGGCTCGATGGCGTCTAGACATGGATTTAACTTGCAAAGAATAGCGCAAACCCTGGAAAACAGGTCTCATGGTTTGTCTAAAAGCGTCCTTGTTCAGAAATACCCGCTTATGTTCTGAAACGCCGGAAATGTTTTCATGAGTTTATGCGACATTTGTTTACGCCTGAACGACTTAGAAAATCAGCGCTTGCGGATGTTTCCTAAACGGTCTAGCGAGTTTATAAGTTCATAAACGGATAACGTCTTCCTTTGAAAATATTCTCTTGCTTGGTAAGATAGAAAAACACAAAAGAGACAAAAAAAAAAAAATGAGCGAGGATGTCTGAAAGAGATTGAAAATAACAAATTTGAGCCAAATATTTCGTTGTGAAAAAATTACCTTCAAACTGAAGGAGTCAGGAAGAGGTTAGATGATTACGAGAGAAAACGAAAAAACGGGCAGAACTGAAGCAGAAACGAATCAGGATAGCAAGGGTGACGAAGGAGATGAAAAGGGAATGGAAATGACCAGGATTTGAAGGAGGAGAAACTAAAAATATCATTTCAGTAAGACTGCAAAACGCATGAGGGATAATGATAAACTAAAAAGAAACAGGGCTAGGCCAAAAATGGAGAAGATGGGAAAAGGTTGAAAATGATGAACTTAACTCAAATTTTGTAATCCGCAAAAACTACCTTCATCTTGAAGGATCCCATAAAATATTAGATCGGCAAGACAGAAAGAATGAGAAGAAAAAGAAATGGACCAAGAAAGAAGGTAAATGAAAGAGGATGGACAAGATTTACGTGGATTGAAAAACTGATCGAGTTCTTTTAACTTGGCTTTTTTATGGTTCTGTAGTCGTGAAGTATGTGCAGCCATCTTTGGTGAACGGAAAGCTTTTTTTTTTCTTACCCGTCAACTAACGTTTCATATTTGATTTTGGTTTCATTACTTGCGACTGATCGAAAAGGATGCCGAGTTGACAAAGCGAAGTCCACATTTACCGTTTCTTTCAACTTTCACAAATAGCACGATTACCTTTTTTTTTTTTTCCAAACATTGTCTCGTATTCATGTGCCTCAAGCAACATCTTAGTACGTGTTTCTGCCAAACTTCGTCACTGTATGATTTCTTTTTAGTTTCGTCTCTGTAATATCGTTATCTTTTTAGCTAAGTGGATTTATTATTTCTGGCTTTCTGAATTTTTTTATTTTCGCAACATGAAGCGACCAGGAGCATCTTGTACGGGGTTTTCTGCAGGTTTCCGCCCAGCCTTGCTTCAAGTTTACCTTTTAGTTCTTCAGTAAAGTTGCACTGTAAGAATGAAGCATCTTGCCTAGAAACATAACACAATGGCTCCTAGTCCATGTTCCACTTGTAACTTCCTATATTTGGAGACCAACCACGTTTCACTACACTTCCTCGTCTCGCCACCCAATATCGTTAACTTGCAGTTAACGAGTTCTTGTAAATGCATACAGGACAATTCTGAACTCGAGTGCACGTTCAGGGGTTGACTTGTACTTGCGACTTTCACACACGAGCCTCCACGCTTACGTTCTTTGTAAAGAAAACAAAAAAAGACTTTTGATGCGCTGTCTGTTAATTCGAGCCAGTCTGGCTTGATATTTTTTTTCAACACATAGGCTCTCCCACACCTTTTTTTTTTTTTGTTTGTTGACTGCTTAAGTCTTTAGTGGCGTCAGTTTTGCGTTATCAGTTTAATCTTAAAAAGAGCAAACGTCAAACTTGACTCAACTTTCCGGTTTCGTTTGAAGCATTGAGGGTTTTCAGTTAATCCCAGGCTTACATCAAGAGGGATGAGTATTCGTTAATCCTCGGTATCGGTTACCTTTTTTTCCTCTTTTAGATTGGTTACACGGGGAAAGAGGGAAAAAATCATCTTGGTTGTCCCATAGCGAGATGGGTAAGTTTTTCAGTAGTATTATATGTTGAAAAAAACTTGACTGTACCCGCATTCGACTAGTGCCGAAAAGGTGTAAAATCCTTCAATCATGGACTACAAGGCCCATTTAAGATATACATTCCTGTCATATCTAGCATGGTTACAGCTGGGGTGTTGTAAGGAATTTGTCCATCGGATCAGCTTAAAAATAAAGCGTTTTAGCACTGTTGTTCGAGAAATGTTCTTGATAATGGAAGTGGAAGAAGAGAAGCAAAATACAAAGCGAATAAGTGGGCGCCGTTTTAATCACAAGACTTTCTCGGTAAACCTTCGAAGACGGATTGTCGCTTGCAATTGATACTTAGTTGTCTTATCTGGCCCTTTTACGTCTCGGATGTAGTCCATCTTGAAGGAAAAAAGAAAAGAAATATTGACTTTGGGAAAACAAAGAGTTTCCTGTTATTTGTTTATGTATAGTTCAATTAAGTTCGCTTCCGTAGACTTCTTTGACACTTTGAGCCCGCTCTTTGACTTCGCTAACAAGAGAAATTAAATGCACAAAGATTCTTCAGTAAACGACGATTGATAATCTCATGCAAACGTTATTCTATCTGCAAAACTAAGCTAGATCTTATGCCATGCAAGTTATAAAAAAAAACAGTAAAGCATCACCGCTTGAGTATTAATTCTACGTATGATGCACGATCGTGCTTCATACGTATCTACAACCGCAGTTCAAACTATATGAACTTCATATATTCATTGTATCAGTATTAATTCTCTTGATCTAATGCGGGACCATAAGAGCTCTAGAAAAGGTTACACCTTACAAATAGTTACAAAGGTGCCGGGAACAAAACTGAAAAAGAAAAGAAAGGTAGAGGAAACGAGCTACAATGAGCAAGATCATGTCGCACTTGTACCAAGTGCCCAAGTAGTGTGCTTCTGGATTGGGTGTCGTGAAACCAAAATGATTACAACGTCCAATAAGGAAAAGGTTATTAGTAAGAGAAGCCAACCAGAACTCAGATGAAATCCACACGGTCCTCGGGTACGATTGTTTTTGCATTTGATTGGATTGAGTTTTTTGCATCAATCGCAAAGCTTGGTGAAAAAAAAACATTGCTTTTACACTCAATTAAAAAATTCACTTCTCAGTACCGCTGAAAGGTGAGAGAGCTAGAGCGATGTTGGGTTTTCAACAGTGCCTAAACATCCAATGAAATCTAGCGGGATATCAATTCTGACCTATTCATTTCTAGTTCGCTTATCTGTCACAGAGTTAAATTTTTTACAATTTATCATTTTTATGTGTGGCATAGGTTATTCGTCGTTCTAGTGACCAGGAGAAGATTTTGGTCATTGCGCGGAAGCGTACTGACCACGTGTGCGACTCGACATTGACTGTGGTGAACATTGTATTATGGGAAGGTATAACCCAGGAGCGCGCGGATTATCTCTATAAAGCACTAAACACCATGTTGCCTCAACATGGCGTTCCTACGGCGAGACGATGTGGAATCAATGAGACGTAAGTTTAGATATTTTTCTGTCTCTTTTCGACACTCTTGTGTCACCTAAAGGCTCTATTGTCTGCTATGCGCGGCTCTTTGTCTGCTTATCTGTCACTGAGGCAACCTTTGGAGTGTGTCTTTTATCTCTATGTTTACCGCATTTCCTCGAATTATAAGTACGCACGCTCCAATTAGCGCCCTCCCATGAAGAAATGTCCATCCCCTGCGCCAATATATCTAAACAAGGCCTACCTAGAATTAACGCTTCCACCTCCCCCCTCTCTCTCATTTTCTTCTATAGTAGGGATACAAGAAAAGCCTGTTTCTATTTGCCTACAGCGGAATCAGTACAGGCTAATAGTTTCTTTATGAGCGCCTCCCTCGATTAAACACCTTCCTTCCAATAAGCGCCCCTCCTTTTAACCCTTTCATTTCCGAGATCTGATTTTAAATTCTCCCCTCTCGCAGGTACAAATTTCCTTGTAAGTTAGTTTCGAGAATCTGGTGTTAGATCAAGACATCAACCCCCACTTGATAAGTTTCAGTATTCTCATTACCCGAAGCTTGATTAATGTATGGATTTTTAAGGGAGAAGTTACATGTTAATCGATGCTGGAAGATAAAGGGTTAACCGAAAAAGCTAAATAAGCGTCAGGGCACCACTTCGAGGAAATACGATTTGTTTGTTGCTGTGTCTCTCTGTGTGTTTCTTTCGTTCTTTCTTTCTGGCTGCCTGTTCGTCTTTTTTGTTTTTGTCTGCCTATCTGTTGGGTGATGTGTTTGTGCCTTTCGTTCACTCGCACTTCTGTCTGTCTTTCTGTCTCTCTATGTGTATGTCTGTTCGTTGACAGACACTCGCAGTCTATCTGTCTCTTTGTTTGCTCACAGATATTCGCACATAAGCATCGGTGTCGTCGTGTATCCCTTCTGATGGTATAACGTGATATTTTATGGCTACCCAAAGATTCTGATTTAGTCGATGTAGAGGGTTTAAGTACCAGTAGCCAAACATGCGACTATTTGCTTGATGTTTAAGGTTCCATCTTAAGTTAGGTAGCATAATAACCAACCATGACCAGATGAGACTCTTAGGGAAGTTTTCAATTGACTGTCGTAAAACCAGAACCAAAGCAATCACAGCAGAAAATCATAACAACGTTTTGCGTCGTCATTAGCCAGTGAGAACGCAAATTACTAAAAGCGCTGCAAAACACAGGCGACCGAGTCACAATTGGTTTTGGTATGGTGTCTGATTGGTTTGGAGCGGGCGCGAGTCTTCTGGACCAATCACATACAAAAACAAAACCAAATCAATCTCAGATTGCTTTCGACACTCAGTTCAAAATTGAACCAATCGCAAATAATCAGACAAACCCCACCCCTCACAGACTATCTTTCGGGTTATCGTCTTGCAGCAAATCATGTGCCTGCCAGGGAGTTAATGAAGAAACTTGCGGTGCCTCTTTTTCATTCGGCTGCTCCTGGAGCATGTACTTCAATGGTTGCAAGTTCACTCGTAGCAAAACGCCGAGGAAATTTAAACTGCTCGATTCTTCTAAGGTAGGTTTTGAATTTTTCTTTTATATGATACAACGACAGACGAATACACAGTGTCAAGCACCATACACATGTTTATAACTCCCTTATTCACCCTGTAGAGTATGATGAACAGAATCCATATTTGAGAATTGGGATTTTATCAACTGAGTTGATGATATAAACTGGCCACAGTAAAGAGTTTAAAATTTGGATATATCAACAAAGTTGAAGTGGTAAATTGGCCACCGTAACGATTAAAAAAGCTAACGTTTCGAGCTTTTGTTGATATATCCAAATTATTTCGTTACTCCCACCGACGCAGCCCCAAACAGTTTCTTTGGAAACTATCAGCCTTTATTCAAAGAGTTTAAAAGCTGATGTTACTCCCACCGACGCAGCACCACTGTTTCTGTTCAAACTTACCACGTTTATTCATATTAGAGAATTGCTAAAAAATTTGATTTGAATGTTTTAGAAAGTGAATCTTCATCCAAACAATCTTTATTAAAGGGGCAAGATTATTTAGAAATTGTGGTGTTGTGTCCTTGAGGATTTCACAGGATAATTGGATTTCCTCAACTAAGTTAAAAGAGTATATTGGCCACCGTAAAGAGATTTTAATGCTAACAAAAGTCTTGATGAGAACAGATTAGTCTAAGAATTACGTTGATCGATGTTCAGTGTTGCAACAGTCAAGCGTTACTTTATTTTGCGATATTCAAACAGGAAGAAGAGTTGGAAAACGTGATGCAGACATTAGCGACAGATTTATCCACCGTATACGAGAAATACGCACCGCAAGCTTTCCAGAACCAGGTAATCATTTGCCACTTTGATGAATGTATAACTTCCCCTCACAAAATCATTACATTGTCAAGCTAAGGGTTGGTGAGAATATAGAAATAATCAACTGATGGATTGGACGTTCTAATTAACAAATGGTAAACACCACAGNGAAAAAACAAGCGCGCGCGGAAAAATAGTCTTTGCATTTGCTCACGTCAGCAGCGTACACCCATGGGCAAATGGGGGACGCTAAATTGACCAATCAGAGCGCGCGATTTACTTTGGTTGTGTTATAATTTTAGGTTAAAGGAGAAAGAGAAGGACTGGAATGCCGTATTGGAAACAATGAGAGACGGCCCTTTTCTGGTGTCACGTGTTGCATGGATTTCTGTGCACATAGCCACAAGGACTCCAGGAATATGGACGGTGGAGCAACACTGGTAATTATTCGTGTTGACTTAGCGTGTGCTTGTCGGAATACATTTCAAAGAGCTGGGGATGAGAAAGGATAAGGCAAAGACAAAGCGAGAGAATTGTATTCAAGATAGTTCTTTTAATTCGTTGTTACTCTTTCTTTTTGCTGTTGCAGGTGTGCTCGCTTCTGAAGCCAGAGGCGATTTCATCAGACGAAGAACAACTTCATGTTTTGCCGTTGTACCGCTTGCTGGACAAGGATGGTGCACCTGTGCGGCCCAATTACGTCATGCCCGGTCACTTCCTTGAACCTCCTATGGGTGTCTCCCCAGGCTACACCACGGTGACAGGACAAGAGAATTCCCCAAAGGCCAGCAAGGCAGTGAATAACCACGATCCACAGCTTAAAGAAGGACGTAAAGAAGTCTTTCAAGATCTGAAAAACAACAACAAAACTAGCAGCGGATCATATGTACCCTTCGACGGACATAGCATTCCTCACGGACATGCGCAGTCGATGCATGGCTTTCCAAATTCGGTGATTCACCACCATGCTTCCTCTAATCAGATGATGAACAATTGTTTTAACGGGCACTATCCCCACCCCCATGGGTCCCCACTGTTTCAGTTTCACCCGCATCTTGGTAACAACTATGTTCTGAACCACTGCCGTGCGCCCGAGGTGCACTGGGTAGACGAAAACCGTATTCCATATTTGTATCGAAATCCGGGACACTTGAATCACTTTCACAACTCCAGTAACAATTTCGACAATTATGGTAACTATGGTAATGATACAAAGGTGCCTCTTATAGGTGGCACCTGGAATTGTCGAATGCCTTTCGGTAAGACGTTTCCAATGAACAATACACCGTCAAACAGAGGGGTCGAGTATGCAAAACCAAAGACTGTCATTCACCACTACAATGGTACGCCTAGTGATGCCGTTAGGGGGCCTTCTCAGATCAAGTGGGTTGATGATAAAGAGGTGCCTCTCATGAGAGCCTCGAGTAGTGTGTCATTGGATGAAAACGCCAACATTAAAGAGATCGAAAATCGCAAAAGCGTTGAAAGAAAAGATGTGATCAGCTCGGAACAAGCACGGAAACCATTCATTGTTGGCGATAATATGGGAGGAGTGGCCATCGCTCTTACTCATGGGTCTCTTCTCATTGAGGTAGCCAAGAAAGAACTTCATGCAACCACACCTCTTAAGAACCCCCAACGACAGAATCCCACTCGGATAAGCTTGGTGTTTTATCAGCACAAACACATGAACCTCGCTCAGCACGGCTTGGGCGAATGGGAGCAGAAAGTGGCTCGAAAGAAGTTGGAAGGAGAGGTAGCCAGCATGGAAGTGGATGGAACGGTGAAGGACGCATCTGTAGACCTTAAAGAAGAAGACAGAGAGTTGGGCTACCTAGACATGCTTGCGGAAACAGCTCTTTCCAGAGCGGACATAGATCCAAGTGTTACAAACAAGCACAATTCTAGCCCAGGTCGCTCTTTAGAGCTGGCCTCGGTGAATCACACTGTTCTTTCACAAAATGGCGCGGACAGTCCGTCAGAAGGTGTAATAAGAGGACGAAACGACTTAAATGCTTCAAAGTTTCCTCAACGAATAGAAGCAGATTTCCACGGTGCGAAAGATACCGCGAAAGAAATTCTATCTAACTTGTCTACCACCAAACCAGAGCAATATAGCCAAATGCGTAATGGAACTGAGTTCGCTCCCGAACGGCCTCGTCAGGGACAGATGGGAGTAAATTCAGTGAACATTCCACAAAGTAATAAGCATCAGAACAAGGAAATCTCTTCCAACCCTCGGCAGCAAATCTGGGGACCAATGCTTCACGTTCATCAAAACAGCGAAGGGCCCAAACGTTCGATATTTTCTTCAAATGCGTCTGCGCATAATACAAGTAGAATAGAACCAAATAAAGTTTTACCTGTTCGAAACGCCGGCGCGAACCACCGAGAGCCATCGCAGGGTGAAGGACTCAAACTATTCTCCCCTTCCAATGGAATAATTCCTGAAAGAATTGTAAATTCTGATAGTAGGGGATTAGATGTTGTGGCAGAACCATCGTCGGCCAAACCGCCAGAGGAACGCCCTAACACCGGTACCAACTTCAGTGTCTCGAGGCTTCTAGGAGATGACAATAACAACAAGGGTGAGAAATCCACCACAGGTTCTTCGTCATCGTATAGAATAAGCAGCATTCTGGGGGACGAGAAAACAACCTCCAGTGCACAAGGTGAAAGTGATCCAGACATGACTCGTCAAGTCCCTTCTCACGTTCGGTCATCTGAGAAGGATCCTGATGTCCTTGCAAGGCACCATTCGGTCTCCGAGCCCACATTTCAGTCACCCAATGTCCCAATGTCGCCAAGGTTCCCATTTTTGCCCCCATTTGCTCATTCTGCAGGGATCAGAGAGAAGCTTTCCGCTGGGCCGGAAAGATCCTACCTTGACCTCTCTGTTGCGGCCAATCGTCTGTTCGGCTACAGTCCTTACAAGTTCGGTGTTCCTTTTCCAACATATCCCAGTTTTTTCATGCCTCCGTTTCATCCACTTCTAACTTCTGGAAATGGCCTTTCGTCAAACCTTGCTTTAGTTAATTCGCAGAATTATTTGTCTTCTTTTATGGACTCCACTAAACGGATAGGAGATATGAATGGCATGGCTCTAGACCCTGCTTCACTGACCACCATTTCCACCGCGACGCGGACTGGGGTTAGTTATCCAATAGACACTCTTATCACTGTGGCACCCTACACACAGACTTGTGTCACGGGGCACTACCAGAATTGGCTCTGATCACAACTTTGCTACAGGAAACCTTTTAAACCTCTTCTGAGCTTGTGTAATGGCAACAGAAGCTCGAATCTGGAGGAAAAAATGTTTCTCATTTGGCAAAACATAATACCAAGAAAATCTAGGGTATTGTAAGTCGTACCTACAGCTATAAATTCCTCGCAAGGCTGTGTAAATGACGACCTGATTAAGTTCTCACCTGCTAGATGAGAGATATCGCAGAAATCCATAAATCCCTAAGGATATTAGAGATTTGAGTCTAAGTTAGGTTTCAAAACCAGATTCTTTAGTGGTGAACAATTATCGTTTGTTTCACTATGTAGTTAGTCTCTACCGATGCAAGTCACGAAGTTTCGACAGACTGCATGCTACTAGCATTATTTAGGCGACGAGGTCGACTCGATACGCATTCTCTCAGGAATCAGTTTGCTTAGCTATGATTAGCTAATTTTTTTTTTTTTTTGGGTCATAAGGTTGCGCGTATCCTTTCGACCCCCCGTGATCACTATCTATTTCTGACTTGAATGCAGTTTGAGCAAATTACCAACCAAAGCCTTTTTCTGGGATTTTGATATGGTTTAAATTTCTTTCCACTTTTCTCAAGCAAAAGCAAGAGATAAAGTGCAAGGTGTCACCAATGGGCCTAACGAATATGGGATATGATTGTGATTTATCCGTGACGATTTTGGCTCTAACACTGGAGCCACTGCAAATCTGATGTTTATCTGCTCTGAGAACAAGTGATGGCAAATCCAAAATAGATTTACAAAGATTGGCATCCTACTCTGTAAAAGGGCGCAATTTAGGTTATAAAGCCGATACAGAGTTTTCTTCTCTAAAGTGCATGTAGTTTATTGTGGATGGCTCTATGAAACTGAGTTATTTGTCAGTGTTTTTATTGATCCCATTTTCCTGTGTTTGAGTATTTAATTTCAAAAATCTTATTTCATTAACAAGCAAAAGTTTTGCAAACGTTGTACAGTTCAACTTCTATCGGAACAGCTACCTTAGAAGGTAATAATCAAAGCGTAATTTTTTTATCTATGATTTCAAGATAAACGGTTAACATGGATTGCAACGGCAGCCTTGTACCAAGGTTTACTTCGTTTTAGGAGCTGCAGAAAAGTAGCAGTTTACATATCGAATGACAGTTTTATCCCATAATAGTGGTTTTTTTTAGTGTGGCAGAGTAATCGTACTGACGAGACATCCTGTATAGCGCCTACCTTATTGCAACAAAGATGCATCTCTAATGGATTTATAATGTAACTGTATTTATCTGTAAATGCCATTTGCGAGCAGATTTTGATATTGCAGAGGGCAAGCGTTATGTCACGCAGTGTAATTTTTAATTAGTCACGCAAGGGCTGTATTGGTTGTCACGTAAAGATAAATTTTATGGTAAAAACAGCGGCGTGCTGGAAAGCTGATAATCAACTTTAGTTTTCGAGATTTTAAGCGGGTATTCTTAACCAATAGATTTAAAATTATGTAAAAAATTCATTTTATTTGGATGATATTAGTGCACCACAAATAAGCAGTGTTTATATGATTATAAAATCAACTTAGTTTTAGAACTGATAGCAGTAAAATCAATATTACGGGGACATATATACCATTTAAGTAGGAGTGAACTGAAAACAAAAAATACAACCTTTTTATTGTCAAAGTGGCTGTATTGGTTTCTTTTGTAATGAGTCAGATTGTACCCAAACTTCTCATGCTGGTCTTTAAATGTTAACCGGGTTAATGGTTCGTGTCGCAAAAGGGATTATCCCAGTTTAGCTCTAACGAAGGGCTGACGTTTGAAAGGTCAGTTTTACAGACTCTCTAAGGTGACCAATTCACTTTATAAAGTCAGTTGATGAAACAAAATTATTTCATGCTGTAGCACGATTTGATAAAGGCTCAGTTGTGTGAAGAGTTCATGAATCACTATTTGATGGTTTGGTTTAGTGCAAACTGATATAATATGGGTGTAAAATATGCTTTTTGCAACAATATGTAACAGAACTGGTACAAAGAACATGCCAAATTAATTCTCGACAAAGTTCAGTCACCTCTCCTTTTTGATAATGAAGGGTGTAACTTTAAGTTAACCCGGCCAAAAGTCCTCAAGACAACTTTGCAAAAAATCCAAATACTTAATAAATTATCACCATACATGGAAACTGTATTACATAAATTACACATGGGTTTATATTGTTTTCCTTGGTACTTTAATTACTCCCCCCCCCCACACCCCCCTTCTCTCCCAGGCACAATGTGATTTGCTAGCAGCACTGATGCTTTCAAAATTCGTATGGGAGGGGATGGGGGAGAAATGTCTTCATCTTTTCATACCCAGCTACAACAGATGAAAGAACTAGGGTGCTAACACTTTCAAATAGGTTTAAAACTGTCACTCAAACAAAAACTCATCTCATTCATGAAATTCATTAATTACTAAATATCAAGAGAAAAAAAGAACAAGGTCTCATTATTTTCTCTTGTAATTGCTCACTCCCCTCTACTGGTTTTGGCTTCTTAAATCTCCCGTTCGCCTCCTTCGCTGTAACACAGCTTCCTTAGAAGTTGTCTTTAAGTCATAAGCCAGCCCGACTAGAGCGAAACAATCTATAAGAAATTTAGACACGTTGATGTAAGTATTCAGTTCAGATGTGGCGTAGTCTTGGGGAAAACAATGATGAAAGTTGTGAGAGCCTTCGCCAAGTGTCCCTAAATTAACAGCAAGGTTTTGCGACGGGCTTATGGCTTCGTCGTAAGGTCGTGATCCCCACATATGGGCGAAACTGTTCACGCTCCATGTCACATTGAGCACATACGCGTAACGAAACGCAAAACAAACGAAAAAAGAGTTCCATATCGTTTCATCCCAGATGTACCAAGGAATCAGAGTTGGAAAGATTATGTTGAAGATAATGACGAGAAGCTTGTAGTGCCTGGAGTAAAGAAAAGAAAATTACGTCACTGACTGCATTTTTTTTATTTTACATATGTATTGACTGAATGATGTTTTTTTGTTCATTTGTTCATTCTTTCCTTCATTCAATAGCTCATTTGCACATTATTTGCATTCCAAGCATAAAAACAGCGTAAAACAGCCAAAAAACTTAGCCATTTGGCGTAAAAATTGTAAAATTTTAACCGTCAGTCGTAAAAAAAGTTAACTCTAGAAAACGTCCCAGTACTAACACAAGAATAATGCTAACCGCTGGCTGTAAAACGGCTAAAATTTCAACCGTTAGTCGTTAAAGCCATCACCCCGTTGAGACCATCCGATAAATAATCAGAAATCCTGCTACGTTTACTTGTTCCACAATGTTTCAAGGAGGACAGGAGACCCTTTGATGTTACGGGGGTGGGGAGGGGTCGGGAAAATGTTAAACGGGGTGTGTATAGAGAGCATTGCAGCGGAACGAGTTTACGTAATACTTCACTGCCAGGATTTTACAAAACATGTAAGAAAAAAGTTGATGATATTATTTTCGGAGAATTGCAGGACCTGTTTCCATCGGGAGACTCCTGTAGTAGTCGCTATTTGTTAATGACCTTGACCTGAGGACGAGGATTAGTTTTCAGGTTTTCTCTTACCTTCTCTGAAACATAACGATATCGTCGGCGTACAGATCGCTCATATCGATCTGTTTTCCCTTCGTTATGACATCAGGATGTTTTCTAACCATCAGCCAACCGACGTGCGAGAAAAAGAAACCTCTCTCAGCATTGTGTGGGTCGGCATCGGTCTCAGAATACTTATGGTGAACACGATGGTCTCTTACCCATTGAAAAATGTCATTCTGGGCGGTCATGCAATTCATTAACATCAGGAATAATCTAAGAGACCGAGTTGCCTTGAATGAGCGGTGTGTCCACAATCTATGCGCTCCAACAGTAACTCCCATACCTCCTAAAATAAAACAGAGCCCCGTCCAAAGCCATGTCCACGGTTTTGTCCAAGGGAGGATGTAAATCCCGTACAGGGCCATTCCATGCAAGCTCGTTATCAGGTAAACATTCAGCCAAACTATCTGAAGCGGTGGGCGTTCTTGATGTCTTCCATTCGTGTTCGTCTTTGTTAAGTAAGTGTTTTCTGCCTCTGCTGTTGTAGAGCTTTTAAGTGCCATTCTCTCTCTCTTTTTTTTATTTTTTTTTTTTTCTTGTTCGCTGCAAACTTGAAGTTCGGTGAAACAAACGCGCAAAATAAACCGAATAGTTTAAGTCTGTATGAGTTTACCACTCGCCCAAGTAATATAAAAATTAATCAAGATATGCTTTATTTATTTGCATGCTTCAAAAAGCAACCCAATCAGAAATAAACATTTGTAAGTGGTCTGGATTAAACCCTTCCTTACGCTGGGAAATAGTTAACATAAGATACCAAATAGTACAAATAAATTATGACTTCATAAGTTTGGAAACTTTCTAACCCGTCATCAAGTGTTTAGGAGTTAGCCACAGGTGCCACACAGGTGCCACACAGGTGCAAATGCCTCATAGCGTTAGAATATTGACCATATAGCGATCTCAATGATTTATTCACGAAGTGTGCATATTATTTAGGTCATCATTTCACGCTCGACTAACGCGTTTAGGTATGAGTGAATCCTGAGCAAAAGCACCCAAAAAACTCGTAAAAAATCAAGTCAAATTTATCGCGTATTCATCACAAAATCTGTTTAGAGAATAATTCCTTCGAATATAGGAATGCCATACGTGCTTAGGCTAATTTCGTATTCATTAAAGCCTAGTGCACATATTGGTGACTAATATAAAAATGATAATTGCCTTTGTATTTTCCTACATCAACAAGAAATGAGCCTTAGACTATAAAAAAAAAACTGAACCTATTCCTCGCAAAAGTGACACAGTATTCTATTGCAATCAATTATTTCTTTTCCCTGAACGCGCTGTGATTATTAACTACCTCAGCCAGTGGTGACCAAAGACGACTTTCTCCCAACAGCACCGTTTTCAAACAGAAAGATTATGAGCATAAAGAGAAATAACAACACGGGGATATTAAATGATTAGCACAAAATTCTCAGATATAAAATCACACGCAATGTATGGCAGTCAGTAAGAAGAATTTGATTGGTAATTTCTCCTCACAGATCCACCCTTATTTCACCAACCTCGTTCCCAGGGTCTCTAATCTTGCCTCTATATTTATATTTCTCTCATCTTCCCGCCCCTTGGAGGCGAGATGATGAAATGAGAGACCCTGGGAAGGAGGTTGTTATTTCACATGCAAAGGCCACGAGAATAGAGGAAATAATCACGAACTAAACAGTTTTTGATTTTTAGACAAATTTTCCTCGTCACTGCAATAGGACTGAATACAAAGAGACCAGTTCGGATAATATCCATATTTTTTTTTAGTTAAAGATGGCTTAGAGCGCGGTTTTGTTAAATAACACCGAAAGTTTGTTTCAATAACTGGCCCTTACTATTCATTTTTCAGTGTTCGTCCAGCTTTTGATGGTATAAAATTCTACTATCGGCAGTCTTACATTGCATTGCTGACGTTATATACTGCACTCTAACGAGTTACAACAAGTATAGGCAATCCCACGGGAGACTAGCGAAGAATTTATGGCAAAGTATGAGTGGAGACGAGTGGGGTAGGGTAGGGATACTGGCTGGGGTAGATGATAAAGGTCTGCCTCGACTGGCTATTTTTCGAAACGAAATCTGGAAACTAAACCTATCGAAATGGCGTTTCCATTCAAACTGAAATATCATGCAAACCATTGGCGCCCATCTCTATAAAAGTATACATCTTCTGAAAGCATATAGACACCGACAAGGGATATCTAATTGAATTTGATGTTTTTGACTATTTAATAGAATGTAGACACGAGACGAGACGTGCTTTTAATCAACAACTATTTTTTTTTTTAATCAGAATGTATTATTGAATTAAAAGGGAGTCTTAAATTTGTATTTTAACGTTCCGTTCTTTGTAAACATAAGAGGAGTGCTTCACACGATTCATGAACATTAGATACAACAAATGACGAATCACGGTAATCAATGTTCCCATTTCATTTTCATTTCGGCGCTATTAAAGTTAATTGAGAACTGGAGGGCTATGCTTGATAAAGGGGAATTAGCTGCGGTAGTCTCAATGGATCTTTCTAAGGCTTTCGATGTTATTCAACACAATCTACTTACTTTTAGCAAAATTTAAGGCTTAGGGTGTGGGAGAGAGAAGCTTAGCGCTCCTCAAGGATTATTTGTCGGGGAGACAACAGAGATTCAAGATTGGGGACACCTTTTCCAGTTGGAAGGGTGTTAAAAGAGGGGTTCCGCAAGGAAGTGTTTTGGGGCCTGTATTTTTTAATATATTCATCAACGACTTGTTTTACCCGGTTACGCAAGGTAAACTTAACGCATATGCGGACGATCATCAGCTATACTCTTCTGATTTCGACCCAGTAGCTCTAGAGAACTGTATTTTTCGGGAAGTGAGAGTTGCAAATAAGTGGTATCGCAGCAATGGAATGATTGTAAATGAAACAAAACACCAGGCTATAGTCTTGGGAAAAACAGGCCACTCCTTCCCTTTCCATTAAAAGATTCTTTGTATATCTTTGGAATAATTATTGACAGTAGGTTGCGTTTTGATAATTATATATCAACTATTTGTAAGAAGATAAATGGCCAGTTCAATGTAATGCTAAGATTTCATAAACTTATCTCTAAAGATACTCTACTAAGATTATTATTAACAGTATCATGTAGATGTACGAAATTTGGCCAAAATGCGAACTTGACATCCACTCTCCAAAGAATACTAGGCTCTTTGAATCTTCAAACAGTTCTCCTTTCATGGCTTCTTCCGTGACGGGACTGGCAGATATCCCAC